TAGAGAAAACCAACTCGTTTGTGCGGAGGTGAGGCTGGGCTGGGAGCAGCCCTGTGGGCCAGGGGACAGCGCCTCCTCCTTCTTCTTGGCATCAGTGTTTTCTCTCCCTTCTTCCCTCCTTGTGGCGGTGGCCTCCTGCCTTAGCCCATGTTTGACCTTGGGGGAAATCAGGGGAGGCTGGGATCTAGCCACGCCCTGCCTGGCAGTTTCTCTGGGAAGCAGGGTCCAAGTCTCCCATCAGGGGCCAGTGTGGCTATGGGCATTCAGGGATACTCACTGTACAGTTCTTGGAACCGATGATGTGATGGTAAATCTGCCCTTCCAACAGTTGAGGACGTACTTAACTGGCTGTGTGACCTTGGGCAGGTAACCTGACTGTTCTGGGCCTTGGTTTTTCCTTGAACACCAAAGGCTTATTTGGTGAAGGCAGGGTAGTTCAGTGGTCTCATTTCTGCCCATTTCACAGCTAAGGAAATGGTTGGGCAGAGAATACCCCCCACATTTAGGGTTGAAGCTGCAACTCAAAATTTGGCTTTTCCAGACTTCAGGTCCAGCTCCTTTGCCTTAAATTCATTCTGAAGCGTTAGGACTGAAGGCCAGCATTCATCAGGAACGGTCCCATGGGAGAGGAGATGGGGAAGGTGGGGAGGAAGAGCCTGTACTCTACTCAGGACCTCCAGGGATTTGCCCCAGGCTCTAGGCTGCCTGCCCTGCCCCGGGCCTTGGCTTGCCCTTTCTGGGTGGGCCTTGTGCTGCTCCATAGGCCTGAGTGTGCGCTGCAGGCCCCCATGATCCCAGCCACCTCTTCCATTTGCAGCCTGCTCTCGCTGGTGGTGAATCTAAACCAGGTAGACTGGGACCAGCAGCTCCAGAAGGTTCTCTTTCTGCAGAACCGAGACTCCTACAATGTAAGTGAACTGCCTGGCCACCTTCTTCTGGGGGAGGGCTTTCCCTTTCACTGAGTTTGGTGGCAAATTGAACTCCTAACTTTGCCAAGTTCTGTTTGCAGATATGAACACTCTGGGGTGACACACAGCTCACTCAGCCAGCCAATCAGGAGCTGGAGGGCAGGGGGTGGGGGACAGCAGCTCCTTCCACAGCACGTTGCATGTTCTAGAATGCTTGCCTGTCCAGGGTTCCATTCCTGCCCAGGTGGGCCATGCTCTGGGGCTCTGGGAAGGCTCCTTGGGAGAGGAGGTGTGTGAGCTTGCCCTGTCTTGGACCTTCCTCAAATATTCCTGGAATTCTCTGCGTCATCCTTTGGCCTGTCCCAATCTACCTTGTCATGCTACTTACCCAGCACCTGGCTGATTTCCCTGCTGCCTTCCTTAAATAGGCCTAGGATGACAGTCCTTTCTTCCTCCCACTCCTTTCTTTATTTATATAAGGGAGTGGCAAGCAGGAAGCATTGCATAAATGCCTAGACTGAGGGGTAGAATGGGGGAAGCAACCCTGCCTTTCAGTGTGGAGGGCTGCCCAGTGGCTTGGACCAGAGCGCAATGGGAGGATTTTGTGAAGATCGATCTGGCCTGGATGTAAGAAAGAGAAAATTTCCTAAGCAGAGCTGAGCTGTCTGAGCACTTCTCCTGGGAGTGGGGGTGGACCAGGCAGCCAATATAATGATTCACTTTGATGACATTGATAAAGCAGTCAGCACAGTGCCCAGAATGTGTGGTGGTCCTTGCTGCAGGGGACAGTTTGATGGAATTTATTGGCTAGTTTTTAAAAAGCCAAGGGCTGCAAAATGGAATTTTGGGGTGGAATATTGAATCCTCTTTTTCCGTTCTGTGCGTGGAAGTGCTATTTTTTGGCGTTTAAGTTCAGAATAAGAAATTAGAAGGCTCTTGGTGTCTCTTCCTTTCCACACCTAGGATGATGAAGATGAAGATGAAGAAGAGTACCCAGATAGCCTGGAGGAATCCTCCACAGAGGACTCTGACACTGACATCTGGCCAACATTTGTGAGCCTTCCAGAGGCCCTGGACAATGCCCAGGAACGGGACAAGGGCCCGGCGGTAACAGTCAGCATGGATGACACATGTTCCTATTGTAACAGACTCACTGACGATGGCAACAGCGACGTGTTCACCATGGTGAGGACGTTCCCTTGATTAGGGTTTTGCTTTCATTCCTTCCATGGTGACATTTCCCAAGACTTTCTCCTCTGGCATCCCATCCCAGCCCAATTCCTGTGGTTGTAAGGGCTTAAGGGGGAGTGTGTGTGTGTGTGTGTGTGTGTGTGTGTGTGTGTGTGTGTGTAGGAAATGGGGAGTCTTAACCACCACTGAGAAGAAAAGATGAAGGGACACGAGTCGTCTGCTGTCAGCAGAAGGATTAGGACAGAATAATGGAGAGGACGGAAACTCCCCAAACCATGAGAGCTGCCCTAAAACAGAATGAATGGGCTGCCTGGGAAGGTGGTGAGCTCCCTGTCACTGGAGGTCCTAAGGCAAAGACTCACTGAGCACTTGGGCTTTGGGTTACTTATACATTAACCATTATTTTGTGACTTGAGGTGGAAAAACCAAGTAGCTTGGCCCCTTCTGGAAGGGAAAAGCCTTTGCCTTTTCTTGGGTGGAGGGACTAAATCTAGGGAAAGGGCCAGAGAGTGTGGCCAGGTGGCTCTTTCTCTTGGCAGGTTTAGGTGGCCCCAGCCTTGCTCCTTGGTGACGCCTCCATCTCTCCCTCCCCCACTCTGTCTGTGTTTGCCAGCTCCAGTGTGAATCCTGCCGGGGCTGGGTTCACCACATGTGTGTGAGGAGGGAGCACAGCGATGAGGATTGGAAAACTCGATTCCAGTGCCGCCTCTGCCTCCCAGGAACTTCCGCGACCTCATCCAGAGGGATTGAAAAAGAGTAGCCTGTGGGGGAGGACCTTCTGAAAGGGCGGGCAGAGGGGAACCCAAACATTTTGGGGGCACAATTTCTCTTCTGCTCAAGACCCTGGGGACAGTAGGCTCAGACTCAGAGGCATTTCTCTGTAGCCCTGTCTCAGCTGCCCCCCAAAGGTAGCTTCTTGACATCAATCCCAAGGTGACTCACAAAACCCAGCAAAGACCAAACTCCCAGGTTCTAGCAAATGATAACAAGGCAAACTAAGAGACAAGAGGCTGACATCTTGAAGGCATCCCATTTGTTTGGTGACTTACAGTCACAGGTTACAGTTTACAAACCCAGTTAACAAACTTACAGTTACAGTTAACAAACCCAGAAGCAAGTTCCCCTGCCCCTACCGTGGCGGGAATTCTGTTGGCTGCTCTCCTGGGGACTGGGTGCCATGGCCAGACTCCTGTTACCCCTGACAGCAGCCTGAGCACACAGACTGTCATTGTCACTCATTTCACAGATGAAGAAACTGAAGTCCAAGCAGCTCATGGGACTTTCCCATGGTTACAAGCTGTGTCCTAAGGAGGCAGGATTTGAACCCCCAGTTCTTTCCTTTCTCCTCCAAGCTCCATGCTCTGCCCTCTTCAGCTGTGCTACTGCTGCTCAGTTGGTTCTGGTGTGGACATGATCACATTTCTTTATAAATATACATTGGGTTTGGCTGTTCTGACCACTCGGCTCCTGGTTTTTTAAGGCAGACCCATTCATTTACTTTCTGTTTGACTGAAGTCCTGATTTTCCATCTTCTTGCTTTGTGGGCCATGGTAAGGGCTGTGAATAAGCATTCCCCAGACTAGAGGAGGTTTGAAGGTGAAGCCTTGGGTCAGAAGGCTCTGGCTCTCCTTGGCCGATCCTGTGCATGAATGATCAGACATTTCAGGGAAGAAAAGGGGAAGGGGGCATGACCTCATGAGGAGCCGGGGGGTAGGCCCTAGTATCTGAGCCTGGATGGCTGGAAGTTCAATCATTCTGTGGTGTAACTTCAGCACAAGATTGCATCAGACAGACTGAGCCTGTGTTCTCAGGCCCAAGCCTGGGCCCCTGCTTTGCTAGATTTCCTGCCTCTGCCATTTCAGGAGGCATCTGGACATCATAAGACAATTTCACCATACCGGAAGTCTAGTGGGGGACAGGACTATTTCCCCTGGCTCTCTTCTGGGACAACTTCCAACTACCTAGAACCTGGTTCAGTCAGTATTAACTTAACTCCCACATGCTTAGTACCAGGCATATAAGGACACTGAAGGCTGGGCACTCTGAGAGCCCCTGGCAGGAGGCGATCCCTGGTGCCCTGGGGCGCTGGTGCTCTCTTTGGCCTCTGCCCAGAGTGGGATGGTCCGCTCCTGGAGGGCAGGGCCTCTTTTGGTATCCCTAGCACACAGTAGGTGCTTATGATCCGCGATGAAGTCACTTGCCCTCGATCACACAACTAGCAACGGGCAAAACACACCTGCGCTTTTTGCTCCCCAGCCCCTGACCTGACCCCTCCTAGACACGGGGTCTGGGGGTCCAAGGTCCGCAGGGAGGTTGGCTCTGGGGAGGAGTCGGGGCTGGTGACCAGCGCGTCCGCTGGTCTTGGGGGTTGGCCTAGACTTCCTTCTCAGAGACCAGGCCCGAAGACCCCCTCACTGCGGCCCTCGCAGCCTCGGCTGTCACCCTGGGCCTGCCAGCTGATCCTGCCGTTCCCGGCTGCGCCCCGCCGCCCCCATCTCCGCTTGGTGGGCCGCTCAAGGCCTCCTCGCCCCCATCTGGGGGTCGCTCATGACGTCCCAGAAGTCATGACCTCCAGCCCCGCCCCCAGCCAGGCTCCTTGTGCTCCCCGCTCATAGACCAGGGGCGCCGGCCGGCTTCTGTGGGAGGCGATGAAATACCCGTCTCCGGGGGGCTCCCAGCCCAGGCCCAAAGCCGCTGGGATCCGGCCCGCGGGCACAGACACCAAGGACCGGAAGTGATCCTGCGCTAGTTGGAAAGCGGGGGTTGGGGGGGCGCGGGAAGGCCCTGGTGCCACTGAGGCAGGAGCGACGCCTGGGGAGGGGTCGAGGATTACGTCAGGTTGGGCTTCTCCTTCCCCCCACCCGGCGCGTGCCTTTCACAGCTCTCCCAGCCCCCACCTCCCGTCGACCACAACCCGGAAGTGATTCCTGGACCGGAAGTGGCATCACGACCCTCTCCCGCCTCGGGCTCCGGAAAGGGATGCAGCTGCCGCCGGGGCTGCTGGGCCGCCTGGGCCCGGGCCCGGCTGGGAGCCCCTCTGGGTCGCCCCCGCTGCCCGTGCTCCGCCATCCGGCCTCCGGGGCCGCCCCCTTCCGCTTCTCACCGCTGGCCCAGAGCCTGCCCCGGAGACACCCGTTGTTCGAGGTCACGTAGGTTCGGGGCGGGACCTGGGGCGGAAGCGAGGCTGCTGGGGGGGCGGGGCCTTCCTTGGGTGTAGCAGGGGGTGGGTCCCGCTTGGGCCGAACTGAGATGGGGGCGGGGCTTCGGTCTCGTGCCGCCCCTCCCCTCACCCGGCCTCTGCTCCGGCAGGACGGGGACGTGCAGAGGCACGCGTACTTGCAGGACGTCATCACGCAGGTTTCGCAGGTGCCGGAGCGCCCCCGCGTGGCGGCCTTCGGGTGCCACGTGGCCGGCTGCCAGCAGGAGTTCGCCAGCCTCGAGGCCTACGAGCACCACTACCGGGCGCTGCACACGCACGTGTGCTCCGTGTGCCGGCGCTCGTTCCCCTCCGCACACCTGCTGGACGTGCACATCCTTGAGTGGCACGACTCGCTCTTCCAACTGCTGGCCGAGCGCCAGAGCATGCACCAGTGCCTGGTGGAGGGCTGCCCGGACAAGTTCCGTAGCAGCCGCGAGCGCAAAGAGCACCTGGTGCGGGCGCACCGCTACCCGCCCGACTTCCGCTTCGATCAGCCCCGGAAGGCCCGAGGGCCGAGCCGGCTGGCCTCGGGGGAGGAGGCCATGGAGGTGTGCCCCGGGGAGGCCCCGCAGCCGCCGCTGCCGCAGGCCTCAGAGCTGCGAACCTACAGCCACAGGATCCCTTCCACCATCTGCTTTGGCCAAGGGGCCACTCGAGGATTTAAAAACGCCAAGAAGAGAAGTAACCAGTGACCCCCGCTGAGCGCCTGCCTGCGCCCCCTGCTGGGGGAGGGGCACTGGACAGAAGCCCCCGAGGTGCCGCCGCCCTGGGATCTTGCAGCCACTTATGGGAGCCTGGAAACCAAAGAAGAGTGAGGGGCCGGAAAGGGAACCCCGAAGGACAGGCCCAGGGGCAGCCCGGGGCTGCCGCTTCCTCCCTCTGCATTTATCCCTGCCTCCTGGGGCTGTCAGACACCTCCAGCCAGGCCTCCCCCACCCCAGGACTGGGGGGGGGGGCTGCCTCCCAGAGCAGCCAGGCCTGCTTGGGCCAGGTACTTCTCCCTCCTCACCCATAATAAAGTGTGAAAAGAAGCCCCCTGAGGTTGAGTGGTCTGAGTCCAGCTGGGTAGTCGGGCACAGAATCCCCCAGGCTCCCCCCACTGGTGCCTCCCAAGCACTTGCCCCCAGAAAAGGACAATGAAAGTGGTAGGTCATTTTATTTCACTGTTATCAAGCAGAAACAAGTTTCCCCAAAGGCAGGAGTTGTGGGACAGACATGATGAAGTGCCAACCAGCTGGACGTCTGGCATCGCAGGCTGGCCGGGCAAGGGTGCATGGGGACAGACAGACAGACTGACACAAACACCGGCTCACTCACATGTGCTCACACTTAACACCCGCCATCCTGCTTGCTCCCTGGCCTGGGTGAGCTGCACAAGGGGAGGCTCCACGATGAAGCCCTCTGCACAACATAAGAATGGCCAGTCAGTGATAGAAAACGAGACTTCCTAGCAGGGGGAGGGGACATGAAGTGGCCGGCCTTCTGTGGCTCTGTGACCCTCTTGCCCTAGCAGCCACCCATCGCTCATGCCCAGGCTGGTCTCCTGCCGCAGAGCAGAGATTTCACATGGATTCCAGTGCCCAGGTGGGCAGGCAGCACTGAGCACAGATGCCAGCTTGGAGCCCCTCCTCTCACTCAGGCCAGGGGTTTACAGTCCTGGCTTCCTGAGGAGGCAGGCCCTCGGCATGTAGGGCACCGTTAACTGTGCTTACAAGCTCTGCAGCTCCTGGCTGGTCCTCGGGCCCCCCTGCATTTCCTGAAATGGTTGTCCCTCATCAGAGGAGGAAGGATGGAGGGAAGGAGGGACCATGCAAGCTGCCCCCTCAGGCCAGGCCCTCTCCTGTCTCTCTTTCCTTCCTTTGTGCTGCTCCAAGTGTCTGGGTGGAACTTGGGAAAAGGCCACACACACTCAGGTTGGGGGTACTCGGGAACTAACCACATGCGATAGATAGACGGATGGATGGATGGATGGGTGGGTGGATGGATGGAGGGATGGACGGACGAGCAAAGTGCACAAATAAGCTACATTTGGCTTCAGCGATTAAGGCCCACACGGGTAATGAGGTCCCGAAGCCATACCCCCTGGAAGGGCACCGGTTACCCAGGAGTGGTGCTCGGGGCCTCGGGCCTGGCCTCCCCTGGATGGAATGTGGTGCCACCTTGGCAGGGAGGGCTCCTGGGGTGGGGCAGTGTTCATTTGGCAGGGAGGTGCATGGGCTGCTGCCCCTAGAGTGCTTTTATTTCAAGACATAGTTAATGAACAGCTGACACGTCAGAAACACGCAGAGTAGAAACCAGCATCTGGAGCTATGGAGAAAGCTTCCTGGCACCCGCCTGTACAGAGACTTTTTGTTGAGAGCCGTGAGGTTCCTGGAACACAGAGACAGGCGGGCTGCATGTGAGTCAGGCTCTGTACTTGGGCTGCTGCCTGCTGACGCCCTCCCCCCTTCAGATGGGGTGTGCTGCCTTCTCCACTAAACTGGCTGCTCCTTGAGGACAGGGTCTGCCTTTGGCCTTTCTTGGCATCCCCAGAGCTTGGCACAGCGGCTGGCACCCTAGGAGTGCTTTAGGACTGACTGTTACTGCCCGATGGGCAGCTTGACAAGGGCAGAGTCAGTCTGTGAACATTTATTAAGCATTCTTAGATGCCAGGCTCTGGGGATGCCAAGAAAGGCCAGAGACAACCCCGCCCTCCTTCCTGTGCTCCCCTGGGCTGCACCAGTGACCTCAACTGTCCCTCTAGACTTGCCTGCCCACTTGCTAAGGAACAGCACCCCCACAGTGGGGACAGGGTAGGCTTTGGAATCAAGGAGGCCTTGATTCAAAGTTTTCCTCTGATGCAGGCCAGCTGTCAACCTTGGGTAGGGCTCTTACCCAAGATCACAAGATACAAGAGAATTCCCTCTGCCCTGCCAAGGGCATCCTCACAACTGAAATCTCACACCTAGGAAGAACCTCCACCTTTAAGCCAGAGATTCCACTTCCCTTCAAAGCCCTGGCGTCTTCTCCCTCCTTCCCTGGCTGACCTGGGCCTCTCTGGACCAGGCAACACCTCACCTGTGAGTCACCCTTCCTCTGTCACTGGGCTTGCAAGGGGGCCCAGCCCAGCTCAGCTAGCCTAGCTGACTGCCTGAGGCAGGTTTTTGGGGGGTTGGCCATTCTAAACTGGCTTCATTGTTAAATTTTCAGCTGAGCATTTACACATGGAGGTTAACAAGTCCAGGCTTGTCTTGTTATTTAAATTTAAGTAATAAAGCGGTGAAGTAAACATTCCCCAAAGTGGGTCCTCTCTCTGCGTGTTTTTTGAGAGCCTGTTTGTTAGATATTTGCCAGCACAGGGCTGAGTGTGGCCACTCACCTGTGGATGTCCTGTTGGGCCTTCTGTAGGGACAGCACTGCAGTGTGAATTTCCTTCAGATGCTGCCTCTCTTTCCCACACCGGACACAGGAGCTTTCACAATCTGGGACCACAGAGGAAGCAGGGTTACCTCGGTGTCCTGTCTAATGCCTTTAAATAGAGCTGATTCTCAGCGCTCCTCCTCCCCTTTCAACCAAGGCAAGAGGAGAAGAATGAGGGAAGGGGCGGGGCTGGGGGGGGGAAGAAGAGGAGGAAAGGAAAGGTGAAGATCCCAGAGTCTCAGAGCTGGAGGGACTTCAGAGGCTCTAGTCCAACCAACGTGTGTCTAAGCTAGAGTCCCCTCTAGAGCACCCCAGAAAGTGGCCTCTGGCTTTTCCATGAAGACCCCTAGTGAGGGGGACAGCTTCCTTACTACCTTCATATCTACCTCGGCAGCTTCCAGTTGGAGTCGTCTGGGGCCAAGCAGATCCCCCAGATACCAGAATCTCAGTGAGGTTGGCTGTGGGAGAAAGATCAGAAGGCCCTGAGGGGGAGGGAGAAGGGAAGCTTTTGGACTTTAAAAGAAGCCCAGAGGTGAAGATTCAGAGAGCTGTGGGCTCCTAGCATGCTCAGTGAGCAGGTCAGATTAGGGCAGCCAGGATGGAGAAGGGCTTGGAGGCCATGGCTGGAGGGTTGTCAGATTCTTAGCCTGGAGAAGAGAAGGCTCAGGGGCACAAGGACAGCTACATTAGCTCTGCTGTTTGGCCCAATAGGGTTGAGCCAGGAGCCAAGGGGGAAGCTACCAGCATGAGGGTGCTCCAGCAGTGAGTTGTCATGGACTTCCTCCAGAAGGGAGGATCCTCTTATTGCCCATGGGAAAGGATTAGGAGTTAGGCTTCCACAGCAGAACAAGGGAATTCTGAGAAGGACTTCCAAGATCTTGTGGAGAGTCCCTCAACCAATCAGAAAGTGCCCCAAACATTCTGCAAACAACTAGTTCCTTAAGAAAGAGCCCTGGAGGGGCAGCTAGGTGGCACAGTAGATAGAGCTCTGGCCTTGGAGTCAGGAGGACGCGAGTTCAAATGTGACCTCAGACACTTGACACTTACTAGCTGTGTGACCCTGGGCAAGTCACTTAACCCCCATTGCCTCACCCAAAAAAGCACCAAAAGAAAGAGCCCTGAAGGCTAAACCGGTTGCAACCAGTCACTGAGCTTGCTTCATAAGCTTATTGGATATTAACTGACACACCCCGAGGCTGGAGGTAGCCGTCAGTTTTGAACGTGAGATGTGTGAACTAACATGACAAGGAGGAACATGGAGGAACATGGGATGGGCGGTTCAGGCAGAGTGTAACTAACTCGGATGAGGTGGTCCAGTCCCGGGCTCAGGTGGGAGGAGTATGGATTTTACCTATCACTTAAAAGTTGATTCTACCTCTGTGCCAGCACCCACGTGCTGCTAGGGTGAGGTGTGCCAGCTTCTCCCAAGAAGTGTAATAAAGGCTTTCTTTCACTCACTCCTGTAGTAGATTTTTGTTTCAGATTTTTCTAACATCGCCCCCATTCGGTGAGGCTCTGATTCCAAAGCCGCTGGATTTGATGATTCTCTGAACAAGATTCCCCTATAACATGCCAGGAATATTCCGATCAGCAGGAAAAGAGGGGCCTGTTAAAAGAGACGGAGCTGCTGTCCAGGGTGCGCAGCAGCCAGCTCCGTGCCCCAACGCCATGCCTGAGCCGCTTCCACTTGGGAGCTCTCCAGGGCAAATGGTGCTGATCTCCTCTCCACCTTGTCTCTCTCCCTCTCCCTTCGCAGGAAATTCTCTTCCTCTTCACCTCTACCTTCTGGCTTTTGTCAAGTCTTAGCTCCAAACCTATCTTCTGTGAGAAACCTTTCCTGAGCCCCCTTAATGCTGGCGCCTTCTCTCTGAGGTGACCTCCAATGGATCCTGCAGCTTTTTGTTGGCATATTCTCTTCTCCAATAGACTGGGAGTTCCTTGAGGGCAGGCATGGTTTTTGCCCTTTTCTTTGGTGGGGGGGTATGCCCAGCACATAGTCCATGTTCCAGCACATAGTTGCTGCATAATAAATGCTTGCTGACTTGACCAGTGGGTTCTCTCCCCTTGGAAGTCTTCAGGTGGAGGCTAAATGCTCTTCTTCACCATGATACTTCATTTCCAGTCTCCAGCCTCCTACTTCATGTCCATCACTTCGAATTCCTGGCTGGACTAACTCCTCAACTCTGTGATTCTTGGTTTCCTTCAAGACTCATCTCTACCGCCACCTTTGGCATTAGGCCTTTTCTGGTTCCCCTGGTTAGTGCACTTCCTAGGTTGTCTTCTTTCTCCTCTATAGGTATCTTGTATGTGCTAAGTTATTTACATGCTGTCTATCCCTTCGGAATGTAAGCTCCTTGAAGGCAGGGACTGTTTTTGTCCAGCACTTAATGCAGGAGGTACTCAATAAATGCTTGTTGATTAATGGATGCTGGGGAGGGAGTTCCTTTTTGGGTGTACATTGGCCTAGATTGTCCCCGAGGATCCTCCTACCTCTAGAATTATGAATAATAATAACAGTAACTAGCATTCATATAGCATGGTCAGGTCTGCAAAGCTTTTTATGTATGCTACTCACTTGTTTTGAGAATTCTGAGATTCTGTGATAATAAGGTTCTCAAGAGCTCAAAATGACTGAGTGTATTTGAACTTCGCACTTCAGGAGGAAACCAGTCTTGGTGCTGAGAGAATCTGAGTTTGGTGGGGATTCCTCTGCTTGGCAATGACGATTTGGGGGCAAAGTGAGCGAAGGATGAGCAGGTGGGGACTAATACCCTTCCGCTCAGTGGAGTCCAGAAAGCTTGACAAATGAACCAACTCTCCCACCTTACAAATGGTTAACCCAAGGCACAGCAGAGGAAGTGACCAGCACAGGCAGACCAGTCAATCTGGCTCCTCCAGTTCCCTCCTTCTCTGGGGAGGTCATGTTCATCAGTCCATCAGCATTGACTGTCAGGCACCAGGTTAAGCCCTGAGGATACAGGCAAGGCAAAAGCAGTGCCTGCCCTCAGGGAGCTCACAATATAATGGGAACAACTGGGCAAACGAGCAAGGTTAGGATAAGTGGGAAGTGACCAGCGGAGGGAAGGCATTGTCGTGAAGGAGGAGGGGGCGAGCCTTCCTGCAGAAAGGGTGGCATTGGTTGGGATCTGGAGGAAGCCAGGCCCTGGGTGGGGGCAGGGTGGGGGTGGGGCGGCCTCCTACCTGCATCCCCTTCTTCTTCAGACAGGTCCTGAACAGACTCGGGGGTGGAGCAGCTGCTCTCCGTGTTCTGGCTGTGGTTGGAGGGCTGATCGCTGGCTTTGCGGTGCCGACAGTTCTTTCCTGACCTCTGTGGGAAGACAATCATCATGAGTGACAATCACTGATGTTTCTAGGGGGCTTCAGACTGTGAAGCCGCCATGTACAGTGGAACCTCAGACCTCTGAGGGCAGGTCCCCAAAAGCACCACGATGCCGGCTTTATGGGTAAGGAAACAGCTCCCAGGGTTGCAGAGCTAGCAGCTTTGAGAGGTGGGAGCTGAGGCTCTGCTTTCCTGACCAGAGTGGCCAGCCACAGACCTGGGAAGCAAGTGTAGTCTGTATTCGAGAGCTCCCAGGAAGGCTGGGGAGAAGACAGAATCATGGAGACGATGTGTGAGGGCATCTCTCCCAAGGTTGTTTGGTTTCCCTTTAAAGTGCTTAGCACAGGGCCTGGCACACAGTAGGGGCTTAATAAAAGCTTTTTCTCTTCTCTTCCCCGGCCCCTTTAGCCTTTAAAGAGACTTTTGCTTTGAGCTTTGCTGGGTTTGGTCAGAGAATGAAGGAGAAGCTGCCCCAGGAGGCTCCTTGCTTTTCTTCCCATTGCAAAGATGGAGGAAACTGCTCTGGTACCCCGGAGGACAAGAAAGGGGAACAGAAGGAGGAGGAGGAGGAGGAGGAGGAAGGGGAGAGGGAGGGGGAGGAGGGGGAGGTGGTGGTGGAAGGCGGTCAGGTTGTGCTGGGGAGCTTTAGCAGCTGACTCTGCACCTTCCACGTTTTCCCCATTATTCCATAAGACTGGACCGTTAACAAAACCATCTGCTGGGCTCTGAATCCTTGAGCGGCTCTCGAGCCAGAGTCCAGCAATGCTGTAGGAACCAGACTGGCAAGGAGCCAACGGGGATCTGCAGCAAAGGCCAGAATTCCAGGTCCTAGCTTTTTCCTCTATTTCCCGGGTCCTGCTGAGGAAGCCCCTTCCCCTCCTCTTTTAAAACCCTTCACTCTCTTTTCCTTCAGGTGACCGGGATGATGGGTACAATCCACCGAGCTTCACCCACACTGCAGCCTAGGATCTGAAGCTTTGTTGTCATTTTTAGTTTATTGTTTTATTATGCTGATGATTCTTAAATCTACCTTTTCTGCCCTAGCCTCTCTGTTGATCTCCAGTCTCGAATCTTGAAGTGGACATCCAGTAGACATCTCAAAATTAATACTGCTGACCTTTCCCCCCAAAACCGTTACTTCTTCCAACCTTCCTCATTCCTGTTGAGGGCATCGCTCTCCTCGAAGTCCCTCAGGCTCTCCACCTGGGAATTCTCCCTCACTCCTCACTATCCCCCTCCCCCCATGTCCAGTCCCTCGGCCAGGCCTCTTCTTCTCTGATGTCACCTCCTCTTCTCTGATGCTGTCACTCCCTGGTACAGGCTCCCATCGTCTCACCTGGGTCATTGCCATAGCTGCTGGGGGGTCTGTCTGTCTCAGGTCTCTCCCCACCCCAGCCCATCCTCTATTCTGCCACCGAAGGGATTTTCCCAAAGCCTAAGTCTGACCATGTCACCCACCCCTACTCAGTGACCTCCAGTGGCACCATCACCTTCTGAGATTAAGTACAAAATCCTCTGACATTCAAAGCCCTTCATAACAGCCCCATCCTACCTCCCCTGCCTTCTTACACCTTACTGCCCAATGAGTATTCCTCAGTCCAGTGCCACCGGCCTCCTGGCTGTGCCATGAACAAGACTCTCCATCTCCTGGCCTGGGCCTTTTTCTCTGGCTGTCCCCCAGACTTGGAATGCTCTGCCTCCTCTGCTCTGACCCCTGTTCTCCCTAGATTCCTTAAGTACGAACTAAAACCTCACCTATTTGAAGCCTTTTCCAATCCCTCCTAGTTCTGGCGCTTTTCCTCTGTTAATTACTTTTAATTCATCCTATAAAATAGCTTGATCAGAAACGCATTTGCATGTTGTTTCCCCCTTAGATGGGAAGCTCCTTGAGGACAGGGACTGTCTTTTGCTTCTTTTTAATTTTTTTTAATTAAAAAATTTCTTTTTAGGCAATTGGGGTTAAGTGACTTGCCCAGGGTCACACAGCTATAAGTATCCAGTGTTTAGTCTGAGGCCAGATTTGAACTTGGGTCCTCCTGACTTCAGGGCCACTGCTCTATCCACTGCGCCATCGAGCTGCCCCTCTTTTACTTCTTTTTAAATCCCCAGTGCTTCACACAGTGACTGGCACATAGTAGATACTTAAAAAATGTTGCCAATTTGATCGTTTGCTTCAGTTCCACATTCAATTTGATTTTAAGAAACCACATGGCCCCTCAGAGTAAACTGGAGAATCCTATGGACGTGGGGGAGTGCTGATTGAGGGGTTGAAGCTAGGCATTGACAGGAGTGGGCCTCATCTATTTGAGAGATTTTGACTTTTTTATCATCATCATCATCATCATCATCAGTAATAATCTAGGGCGTTAGAGTTTGCAGAGTGCTTTACAAAGATGACCTCAGCAGATCCTCACAACCACCCTGCGGAGGCGGAGTTATCCCCATTTTACAGATAAGGAAACTGAGGCAAAGGTGAAGTGACTTGCCCAAGGTCATGCAGCTAGTGAGCCTGGACTCCAAGTCCAGAATTGTGTGGGACTCGGGGCCAGATTAGGTGCTGGCTAAGCAGGAGGAGCTGTGAGGAGTTTACTCACGGGTAGCTAGATTGCCATCTGGTAGCCACAGGATAGAATGCATCCTCCCAATGTGGGTTACCCTAAAAGCCTTCAGTCTCAAGCTTTCACAGCCTGAAACAGCACTTTTGGGACACATTATGGAATGAATGACAAGATGGCTGGCAACTCCCTAGAATGGCAGAGAGTAGGGAAAGAAGCCAAGGTGCTTGAATCAGGAGTAACTGAATCCTTACGTGCCCTCCAGCATGGCACCTGCCGCACCCAGATCACATAAGCGTGCCTCAAGGGCTTGGCCCGACAGCCCCTAAGGTCTCTCTGCCAGCTCCATGTTTATGACCGTATCTGCCTGTAAATGCTTTTTTCTCTCTGGGCCTCACTTTCCCCATTTGTAAAAGGAGAAGGAAGAACAGAATGGTCTCTGAGGTCCTCTATGACCCAGAATCCTGTGATGCACTGAGTCTGGGGCTGGGTCCTGGACCCTGCCCCCTTGAGTTACGTCACCTGACTGAAAAGTGGAGGTCAGAGGGAGGCGAGGTTGAGGACAGAGGAGGGGAGGCGGGCTTGCGTTTGCTGGAAGCACGTAGGTGAGGCAGCACCTGTGAGGCAGCAGGTGGTATGATGGACAGAACTCCGGGCCTGGAGTCAGGAAGGCCCAAGTTCAAATCCAGCGTCAGACACTTACTAGATACTAGCTATGTTACCACTGTCTGCCTCAGTTTCCTCAACTGTAAAAGGGGGATGATAACAGCACCTCCTTCACAGCGTTGTTGTGAGGATCGAATGAGGCAATATTTGTAAAGTGCTTAGTTCAGACAGTGCCTGGCGTGCAGTAGGTGTTATGTACATGTTCATTCCCTTCCCTCCCAGGCCACTTTGTGAGCTACCTGAGGGCGCTGGATTCCTCTGCTCCTTTTCTGGTGTTCCTCAGGGCTCAGCCTTGACCATTTAGAAGTGCGTGGGGCTGGGCACACGGCAGAGGAGAGAGGGATTGGTCAGATTTTGCTTGTGTGCCTATCTGTGCATGTGGGACTGAATGTATGAGAAATGTGTGTTTATGTGTATATGGGGGAGAAGGGAGGAAGGTGGGGAGGGAAAGAGAAAAGAGTGAAAGGTGGGGAGGGAGGGGGGGAGAGGAGAGAGAGAGAGAAGGAGAGAGGAGAGAGAAGGAGAGAGGAGAGAGAGGGGAGAGAGAAGAGACAGAGGAGAGATACAGACAGAGAGAGAAACAGGGGGAGAGAGAGAGAGAGAGAGGGAGAGAAGAGAGAGAGAGGAGAGGATAGAGACGGAAAGAGAGGAGAGAGAGAGCAAGGGAGAGAGGAGAGAGAGAGAGAGAAGAGGGAGAGGGACAGAGAGAGAGAGAAGGAGAGAGGAGAGAGAGGGGAGAGAGAAGAGACAGAGGAGAGATACAGACAGAGAGAGAAACAGGGGGGAGAGAGAGAGAGGAGAGGATAGAGACGGAGAGAGAGGAGAGAGAGAGCAAGGGAGAGAGGAGAGAGAGAGACAGAGAGAGAAGAGGGAGAGAGACAGAGAGAGAGAGAAGAGACAGAGGAGAGATACAGACACAGAGAGAAACAGGGGGAAGAGAGAGAGAGAGGGAGAGAGGAGAGAGAGAGAGAGGAGGCAGAGAGGAAAGAATGTTTGTCACTGCATTTCAGCTCATGACAGAAGAGACTTGAATGACCCCTTGGCCTCTGGGTTCTCTGGGCCAGTGTCCTGTCCCTGCACATTGTCCTGTCAGGCCTACAGGAGGATGACTTGCTAGAACAGACTTGGCATCAGGAGACACTTGGGTCCAAATCTGGCCTTGGACACTGGTTAGCTATGGAATCCTGGGCAGGGTGACTCTTCCCTGGCCCTCAGTTTTCTCATCGGTAAAATGGAGAGCTGATCCTCTGTGAGGTCTGAAGGGGGTCAGTCTGCCAGACTTGGAGGCCTGGACCACCCGGGAAGTGTGAGTGGTTATTGTTTTCATTCTCTCTGAGCTGTTGTGTGGTGTGATGGCTAGAGAGCCCCCCTGAAGTCTCTTGGCGCCTTCGAGAAGGTGCAGACCTATTGTGGAAGAGGGAGCATCCTCACCTGAGACTTCCTCTTACCAAGGAACTCTTGGGCCTGTGCCCTGTCCCTACCACCATAACTCACCAAGAGGGCTACTTGACACTCAGCAGCGCTTGCTGAACGTTCTAGATGGAGCAGGCCAAGGGAGGGCAGGGCAGGCCGTGACTCACCTTGTGCCGGGCCGCTTGGTTCTGAGCGTTCAGCCTTAGGGGCGTGTGCCGGCCCATAGTCTGCAACCTGCCATCCTGCTCAAACTGGGCGATGTCCGTTAAGGGGTCCCAAGGCCTCAGGCTGGAGGAGGGGAAACGGGATCCATGAGACCATTGAGTGTCATGTGGAATGTCGGCTCCTGAGGGGGGCAGAGCGGGCACCTCCCTCCCCTGGCATCTGCTCGGCACTGGCAGAGAGCCCTCTGACCCACAGGCCCTGCTTGGAGCCGCCCTCCTCTGGGCTCAGGCACAGCAGACCTACCTCGGTCAAGGGTGGCCATTCATAGTCCACCTTGACTCCCATTACCTAGCAGGGCTCCGTGCCCAGAGTCTGAGCCGGTTACCCCTCAGGGACATAGGATTGTGGGCGGTCACCTGCTCTAGAGCTGCCTGCCAGGGTCTGAGAGAAGGCCCTCCTCCCTTGCTGGGACCCTCCCCCAGGCCCAAGACTCACTCCTCATATTTGTAGTGCCACTCCTGGGAGCTGGGATCCTGGAGGAAAAGCAGTGGCTTCCATTCGAGAAAGGCCTCCTGCCTCTCCCGGGCCCGTCTCCTCTGCTCCTCCTCCAGCACGGACTTCTCCTGGGTCGCCTTCACCTGGTCGCCTTTGTTGATGGCGCTGGTCACGTGCTGCCACAGTCTGTGGGGAGCAGGGCCAGTGGTGAGCCCAGGGCCGGCCCCGGCCCTGGCCCCACCATGCGCTCGCTGGGTGACTCGGGGCTCCTTTCTTATCCAGGCCCCCTCTCTCTGGTCTCCCAGAACCATGCAGGGTGCCCCTCGAGCCAAGGCGCTGTCACTGATGGGCCTTTGCCTGAGCTTTCACCGATCGACCAGGTGCTCTCAGCCTCAGGGGGCAGCCCGTGGAGTGGGGGACAGCTTAGAGTCTTCTCGGGTTTGGTCCCGTAGCTGTCGTCCGCTGGTCCAGCTTCTGCCCTCTGAGGACCAGCAGAATGTCTGCCCCGGCCCCTCAGCTTCTCCAACACCGTCCTCTCTGCAAGTCCCCTCTTGTCCAGGCCCAAAGAACTTCACTCTGGGAGGACCCTTTGTAGATGGCTGGTTTCTAGTCCCAGCCTTGCCTCTGTCATAGGGGTGAGGACCAGCAGAGGTGGGAGGGCGGGGGATCCCATGGCAAGAAGTGGGAGGGTTCCGAGGGGCGCTTAGCAGGGACCCCGGCCAGACAGGAAGCTCGGCCACCTACGGCCTGGGGAGCCTGGGCCAACACCCTCCCCTGCCCTGGGCCTCAGTTTCCACCTTTAAAAAATGGTGGCGGGGTGGAAGTTCTCCGTGATCCTGCCTATGTCTGAGCTCGTGGAGGGTGAAGCCCTGCTGAGAGCCAGGACATCGGGCTTCTCGCCTCAATCATGGTCTGGCCTCGGTGGTCCTGGACTAGTCACCAGCTTGCGTCTGGTCTCAATGTCTCCATCTGGGAGATGGGGCCACGGCCACTTCCTCCTCCTCTGGGCAGGACTCACCTCTCTGATTCTAGCCCTGTTTGCTCCTCAAACAGCACAATGTGGCGCTTTAGTCTCTGCCTCCGGATATCTGCCGTCGGGTTCCAGAAGACATCGGCGGTGCCGTTCCTTGGGTCATTGATGTACACCTCCCTGTCCTGCCCGGGAAGACCGAGGGAAATGTGCCAGGTTGGCATTTGAGGCCCTCCTGAGCTGGCCCGCTCCCCACCTCGTCCCTGGGCGTCGAGGCAGCTCCATTGCAGCCAGCCGGGGCCCCCGCCCTTCCCCCTTTCTTCCCAAGAGTCCTCCAGGAGGTGTCCGTCCACAGGGACTTGTCAAGCCCTGAATTCTGGGCAGAAAAGCAGAAGGACCTTCTAGGAACCACTGTCCAAAGAATCCAACGGGGCAGCTCCCAGGAGCGCTTTGTAAACCTAGACAGAGCTGCTTTTGGTGGTGGGCGGTGCTGCTCCCCCTCCTGGTCAGTATATGCCTTCTGCTCCAGCTAGGCCTGGTGCCCATGCATACACCTGGCTCGTTCCCACCTCCACACCTTTGCTCATGCTCTTCCCCCTGCCTCCAGTGCCTTCCCTCCTCATTTCTGTCCAGCCCAGTTCTACCTATCTTTCAAGGCCTAGCTAAGGCCCCTCCACTAGGAAGCCTTCGCTGATCCCAGCCTATGCCAATCTCTCCCCTTCTTCGCTTTTACCCTGCCGGCTTTCAGCACTCTGTGTGTGTGTGCCCCTGCCCATGAGCTCTTGCGCTCGGCAGCTCGCTGCTGCACCTAGTACGGTCCCACAGAGGTCGATCGAGCGCCTTGTGTGGGTTCCTGTTGGTGTGAAGTAAACGCAGCTGCGTGCAGGCCCAGGACCTCTGATGTGGGAGGTGGCTTCCTTACCCAGTGTCCTTCAAGGCTTGCTAGGACATCCTCTCCTGACTTAATCTTCCCAGAGATCTGGTTAAGGCCCGAGCTGCCTCCGAAGAAAGGCTGCAGAGAATAGACAGGCCTGGTCAGACAGGGTTAGGGCTTGGGGCCCAGGGAGCTAGAGCCTGTGGGGTGTGGGGGGCAGGGTGGGCCACCAAGGCTGGAGAGCTCCGGAAGGGCGCCTTTACGCAGCCTCCCTCCTCCCCACCCAGGCCGCCATCCAGGGGACTGGGGCTTATCAGGGACAAGTGGGGAGACCTGGGGGCTCCTTGAAGCTCCGTCACTCGTGTGCTGTGTGACCTTGGGTGGAGGCTCCCCTTACCTGGGCTCAATATCCCCCACTATCTAATGGGGACAGTCAGAGCTGCCAGCCTCTTCTCCCGGAATTGTTTGTGGGACCGAAGGGGAAAGGGCTCCGGGAGACAGCAGGGAGGGCAGGTGATGCTTCGGCAGGCCGCCCCCGGCCACGAGGGCACTGACCTCCCGGGCTGGGGGAAGGGGGAAGGGTCAAGGGAGCTTAGTGGTCACTGGGGCCCACGGCCCTCATCTTACACAGGAGCAAACTGAGGCCTGACTCGGGCTCACAAAGCCATGAAGGTCCAGAGCTCTGCCTCCTGCTCAGGCAGCCCCTCATCACCATGAGCCAGTCCTGCCCTGCGGAACTAGCTTCCTTGCTAGGGCTGGGGCTCCATTTCCTCCTATTCTCTAAGGCCCCTCCCACCTCTGACACTCCATCTTCTCTGTTCTAAGGCCCTCCCCCCATACTCCATCTTCTCTGTTCTAAGGCCCTCCCCCCATACTCCATGTTCTCTGTTCTAAGGCCCCTCCCACCTCTGACACTCTATGTTCTCTGTTCTAAGGCCCCTCCCACCTCTGACACTCCATGTTCTCTGTTCTAAGGCCCTCCCCCCATACTCCATGTTCTCTGTTCTAAGGCCCTCCCCCCATACTCCATGTTCTCTGTTCTAAGGCCCTTCCCAGCTCTGACACTCCATTTTTTTTTGTTTTAAGGCCCTTCCCAGCTTTGACATTGTCAGATATAATGAGAAAGGTCAATTTAAGATAATCAGCATTTATTCAGCACCTCTTCAGCTGGGTTCTGGGGATACAAATATCAAACAGGCTGGCTCTGCCCTGAGACAGCCCCTGTGCAAGACACTCAGTGGTTTCCCCACAGTCTCATAAATGGCCCAAGGATCCCAGTCTATAAGTTGGGTGGGGCCTTCTAGACCATTTCCTAAGAGTTCCACGCCCTTGTTTTATGGAGGAGAAGGGACTGGCCCAGAGTAACCTGGAGAGTCTTACAGTACACTGTAAGGACCCCAATCCAGTGGGTCCCCTTCCCCCATGGCTGCAGGGCTGCCTTTTCCCAGAAGGAGGTTGTGGCCTTAGGGACTCCCAGCCTCCTCCGGGCCGTGGAGGCCATGTGAGGCCAGTCCTTACCTTGAGCTTAAACTCCAATTCTGCTTGGTAATTATTCTTCTCACACTCTATAGTCACTTTCCCACCCAGCTCCATTGTCATGGTGCCGTACAGAATTCCTGAACAGAAAGCACAGGTCAAGCTGGACTTCACCGAGAGCTCCCTCCCCTGTCTAGCCATGAGCTAAGGGAGGCTTTCCCGACGCCCTCTGGAGGTGGTGAATGGCCTTCTCTCCCCACCCCCCCTGCATGTGTAGAAGTCGCACCCATTGGGTTTGTAGGCAAAGAATGACTCTTCTGCTCTTGCCATTTACATGAATTTTTTGTCCCTAATTAAATGCTTTTGCTATTAGATTGGAGACTGGCATGGTCTAGTAAATAGAGAGTGTTCTCTGGGACGTGAGCCTAGGCCATGATATGTCTGACTGCCTCAGTGGCCTTGTGCCTGGGAAAGGCAGCCCTGGCCTCCAGCTCCCACTCCTCAGAGGCTGCCGGAGTGTTTACACACATTTGGTGGGGGCTTGTCTGCGATAGTGGTAATTAGGTAGAAGAGAAGCCCTGTGAGGGCAGGGGCTGTAACCATTTTTTTTCTTGGCATACCGGGCACACAGCAGGTGCTTAATAAATGCTTATTGATTAAGACTATTTGTGGTGGATTGGGTCAAGATGAAGCTAAGTGTTTGAATATTGCCCGAATCCGCTGAAAACGTGCTGATTTTTTTCCCTCGGTGGCTTACTCTAGGAGCCTTAGCTCCTACCCCTGAAGTGCTTTTCAACTGTGTTTTCTGGCCCCAGAAGCTGGGATCTGGCCGAGTTCTCTGCAGACTGTCCCCGGATCAAGGACCTTGATTCAGCTGCAAGGGCCCCCACCTCTTTCCGTTCCCTATGACTTTGTGCGTTCTCTGCACGGGACAGAAGTTAGGGAAATGACAAAGACAAGACGCCCTGAGATGAAAGATGAGAAAGCAGTGCTCCAGGGAAGCCCCAGACCCTTCCTTGAGCACAGCCTCGCGCAACGCCCTCAGCACGTTCATTCTGAGCTGACAGTGCCCCCTTGTGGCCTGTTAGGGCATTGGATTTAAAGATGGGGATGGATGCAAAGAAAAAGAAGGCATCTGTCGTGATGGGGGAGCAGGGGGCTCAAGGCCCAGGGGCCCCAGGTCCCCCCCAGGCTCCCAGGCTTTAGGCAGCTGGCTTCTGACCTGGCCCCTCACAGTCATCATCACCGCGTGTCTCAGGGCGTCTCTTCTGTCCCATGGAGCTCCATGAGGCTCCCAACTCCTGCCTCCATATACCAAGTGTGTGATTTTAGCATGATTACTGCTTACTGAGAGTCCAGCTGGAAGTCCTGCTCCAGCCAGAGCTAGTCAGCCAGTCTCTGTGCCTTTGCTTATGCGGGGACCTCTGCTGTGAATGCCCTCCCACCACTTTCTCCTGTCCAAATTCTGCCCTGGAAGATCCAGCAGAAGTCTGTGTCCCCTGCTGGAAGATTCTGAGCAATCCAGATAAGGCAAATCTTTCTTTTCTTCGAGCACAGGGTCAGGATGACGGATTCTTGGGGTCAGAAGGGATCTCAGAAGTTATTTGATTCACAGGGATGAGCACGTGGTTTGCTCAGTGAACACTTGTTGGCCATGTATTCAGAATGCCCTCCTCCCAACTCTGGGCACTGGATGGAGGCTTCCCCTGGGATGCATTCTGGAAAGGGGTGAACTCGCTTACCTTTGCAATGTGCATAGGGCATTGTAATGATGTAATCTTCCCCTCTACTTAGAAATGTCAGGGTGGCTTTGCCATCAAGTAAGGCTGAGAGGGAATTTCCTGTAGCCACAAAGAAAGATGACAGTCAATGAGACAGAAAGAGGCAGCTGGCAAGACAGCCGGCCACCAGACTGGCGGACAGACCCCTTCCAGGGTCGGCCTCCTCCCACGCCTTCCAGAATGGCTCTAAATCAGCTCTTTTTCTAAAGACACAAGTGAGGTGTGACAGGTGCACATAATAGTGGGACATGTTGGCTCCTGGCTTATTTTCAGTATGAAGACTGGATGGCTGGGCTGTGAGAACATAACACAGGAGAAGAAATCTTTAATCTTCCCTCCTCTCACCCCATCCCTGCCCAAGGCACAAAATAATGTCCCCATTTCTGAGTCCTCTGCAAACCCTCCTTACCCTCCCTTATCCCCTGGGAGGGGATCTGGTTAAGTCTGTCTGTCTACACAGGCTGCAAAAGCCCCACTAGACTCCATTCAGCTTTCAAAGCTATCTGTTTCACAGGCCACTGCACTCACTGGCCTGTCAAGAACACAAATGTCCATGTGGGATGCTACTCAGCCGCGGGTGGGATGAGAGGGCTGTTCAGGTCTCTTCCAGCCAGGAGGTTCCTTATATTTATGGATCTGGGTTCCTGGCTCTTTGCATGTAAGCAAGTATACGTAGGTATGCATGCGTGTGTGTATGTAAGTGTCCTGGGGCGTGGAGGAGCCTTCCCTGATCACGCTAGGCCCCAGTGAACCTTCCCTTCTCAGGGTCTGCGGGATTCACCCCACACTGATTTTCTTGCAGTCACAAGGGTTTTAAGTGGAAAGGGAAGCAGGTGACACAAACTGCCAGTAAAGACCCACGGAACTCGATAGCATTAAGAGAAGCTACCAGCAGGAGAAGAAACAGTACTGTGCATGTGCCAGAACTTCACAGGCAACCACGATCCAAGGAAGAAGCTGCTAACAAGACCCTCAGGTTCAGATGGCTCCACCAAAGGCAGCCAAAGGCTGGCCACAAGCCAGGTGAATGGGGAGCCTGTGGCTCAGAGGCTGGGGACATGGCCGTGGGGGAGCAGCCCCAGCAGTGAGTCATGAGCTGTTACCAGAATCAGCTGAAGGAACTGGGGATGAGCAACCTGGCAGAGATGTGGGAGACAGTCTCAGATATTTGTGGGAGAGGGATGAGCTTTCTTCTGCTTGGCCCTGGAGGACGGAGCCAGGCACTACAGGTGGAGGTCGATTGAGGAGGCACATTTAGGTCTGATGTACTATTCCAAAGTGGAACGAGGGTGGTGGGTCTCTCAGGGGGCAGAAATCTCCCTGCCCCGGGGTCTTAGAGCAGGTGATAGAGCTGCACTCAGATGTAGGGTAGAGGGAATCCTAGTTCAGGTAGGGATTGGACGCCATGGCCTCTGAGGTGTCCCTGGCCATCGCTGCCTCCGAAGCTGCTCTGTGTTTGTCCACAGAAAAGTCCCTTTCCCTCTCTACGCCTTGGTTCTGTGGCATGAGGGGGCTGGGTGAGATGATGGCTTAAATTCCTTTCTGTCTATGGATCTGGTCTTATTTTATTGCTTCAGGTGAAAGTCAGCAGAAGTAATGGAAAGTGTCCTTGCTGATTCTCAAAGGGTTTTCAAAATAAACTGTCATCAGCAAATATGGACCATTTTGTCTCCTTTTTTTTTTTTGGCAAGTGTAATAGAAAGTATCTTAAAGAAAATAGGAAAGGGGAGGAAGAGTACCCACAACCAGTACGTCTTGGGACCTGGGGCTCAGATCCTTGCCCCCTGAGTGCTGGCCAGAGGATACCACGGCCAGCTCCCCACGGAGGGGAGGGAAGAAAATACCAGTAACCCTCAAGATGTTTTACAAATACAAGTTAATTTGCTGTTTAATGTTATTTAACTTGCCATGTTATTTAATTTTGAATCCTTTTTTGTCCCGTTCCCTCCACATGGTGGTTAGGGCTGGAGGACGACTTGGGCTCAGGTCTGAGCTCTGCCATCACTGGCCCGGTGGTCACAGGCCATTCCCTTCCCACATCTGAACTCCTGCTTTCCCACTGTACAATGGGGGCATTGGATTAGATGATCTTCCAGCTGTGAGTTGTGTGAGATTCCATGGACCGGACCATGGTCACTGAGGGCTCCCTGAGGGCTGGGCCTAGGCTGACCACCATATCTCTTTCTATCCCCTCAGGACCCAAAGCTGTAAAGAATGAATGCAAAAAGAAAGGGGGGACTAGGGGGGAAGGGTAGAGAGAAGGGAGCCCAGAACTGGCCTCAGGAGGGCCTCGCTGACACACTGGGCCACAGGCCCCGAGCAGTAGACAGCAGCCACCTCCCTGTTCAGTCACAGGCATTTATTCAATGGCCTGTGCTCTGCGCCGGCAGGGGGGATGGACCAGACCTGCACCCCGAGATGCGGCCCGCAGCTTGCTTTGTTTCAAGTGACAATACGTGCTCATTATAAGGGAGGGATTCCGTGGGGAGAGGGGGAAGGCAGCCTGGTGGAGAGTGAGAGATGGGGGTGGGGGGATACAGAGAAGAGACAGGGAGAGGCAGAAGGGAGAATTTGCCACCAGGTTCACTGAACCCGCCACTGTACGTGGCAGACAGCCCCCATGTCTGGGGCAGTGAGTCCTCTGCCCTTTCTCTATCGGGTCCTGAGACTTTAGCGGCTGTTGAAATCACAACACGGAGGAAAACTAGAGAAAAGCCCTGCCCTCAGTGAGCTGGCAGCTGCTGGGGAGAACTGACGTGCGCACAGAAAAGTGAGTGCAAAGCCGCTATTATTATCCAAGTCTGCCCCGTGGTGTAAATCGCACGGGGGACTTCCAGCAAGGAAGCTCTTCCTCAGCACAGACTGGCAACTTCTCTAACACGGCAGGCTCCTTTAGGGCAGGGTCTGTCCTGCCTCTCTTTGTCTTCCCAGTACTTCGCCCAGGCCTGGCAGCAGGGGTGCCCGAGCTATGTGGACTGATGGATTGACAGTTGCTCGGGTAAAGCTTGCTCCCCTGCCCACCCCGCCGCCATCCCTGGCCTTACCATAGAATTTGGACTTAGCTCGGACGCTCCCAGTGATGCAGAAGCCATCCTTCCTATTGCTTACATGGAAAGCAGACACAGGGGGATGATGGGAGACCTGTAAGGCAGAACAGCAATTTGGACGACAGTCCTTTGGGTCTTGGGCTCAGGGCCGCTCCTGTCTCCTGGGAGCTCAGGGGCCGAGACTGCCTGGAGCTCTGCCCTTCCAGGGTCCTCCCCCGACAGGGCCAAGCTCCGAGTCTCTGCCTCCGTTCCTGCTGCCCGTGCCTGCCCTCTGTGAGGCTGGGAAGAAATTCTCTCCCTCCCAGGTCCTAGGCCTCATCACCCCTCCCCATTAGACTGTAAGCTGAAGGACAGAGATGGGGTTCTTTTTGTTCTTTGTATCCTTGGTCCCAGTGTCTTCCACATGGTAGGCGTTTCATTAATGTGAGCAAATTCGAATTCCTTTAGGTTAACTATTCTCCCTTTCAGGCCTTCTCTCTCTCTCTCTCTCTCTCTCTCTCTCTCTCTCTCTCTCTCTCTCTCTCTCTCTCTCTCCTCTTTTTTGGGGGGCAGTTGGGGTTAAGTGACTTGCCCAGGGTCACACAGCTAAGTGTCAAGGGTTTGGTCTGAGGCTGGATTTGAACTCAGGTCCTCCTGACTTCAGGGCCGGTGCTCTATCCACTGTGCCACACCTAGCTGCCCCCCAGGCCTTCTTTTACAAATATAAATGTCCCTGGGAGGACCTACCAGAAGCACCCCAAGGGCTGAGTGTCCCCACAAGCTTTTACTCCCAGATGGGAGGGGCCAGGGCAGTCTTGGGGGGGGCAGTAAGGCAGCTCCCTCCTGCCGTGGTCTGGGCCTGGGGGACCCTCTACCATTACTGACACCTTCCTCAATAGTGGGGAGCTACCAAGCCCCCATAACATTACCTCAGGATGCCTTTCCCTCAGCCTGACCCTAGACGGTTGTCTCGGCCACAGGGCCAGACTGGCAGGGGTTGTGAGGAGAGGGGGAGGAAAACATGGTCACAGCCAAGGACATCCGTCCTGTCTTCAAAACAAACAGTGAGAACTCCAAGGGCTATATCCCATACGTCAAGCCTGGTGAGCAGTGAGCTTGGGGGACACTGTCCCTAGGCTGAGGTTCTCTGCTCCCACTTAGCATCCAGAAATAGAGAGCGTTAGAGGAGCTGGCTCTCGGTACCCATTCAGGGTCTCAGGCTGGAATGGAATTAGAGGCCAATCTCCTTCAGAAAATAAATCTCATTTTCAGGCGGTTTGTGGCCTGCACTCTGCTAGCTAGAGAGAGATTTGGCAGGGATGTGATTGTTTTGTGCCAGGCAGACTCCATGAAGGGAGAAGGGAAGGCACTGCTTGGGGTCCACAGCTAGGGTGGGGAGGGAAGAAGTTCTTATTTCCAAGCCACTCTTCCTTTAGCTGGGCTTTGGTAGTATCTTGCAGGCCAGGCCTGAAGCTTGCTTCCGGGTCAAGGCGCTTCAAGAACCAAGGTTTCAGGGGGGAAAGTGGGGCAGGGACTTGCCTGTTCAGCAATGTAGAAGGTATGGCTGTTGGTGTGCGGGTGGTACCAGCAGCAGCGGAAGGTCTCTCCAAGGATAGGATTGTAAGGCTTCTTGATTCCCTGGAAGAGGAAGAGGAAGTTTGGTTTCCCAGGCTGCAGCTGGAGATAGAGCCCTCCCCCACAGCAGGCTTGAACCCAGGGTGCTCTGAGTCATCTTGGATGGCTGCCCACTGCCAGCTTCGTGTATTTGCTGGGAAGCCTTCCTAACTGCTAATTGATCCACCCATTTCTTCTGGATGAAGGCAAAGGAAGCTAGGATCACAGGGTTTAAAGCCAGAAGGGTTGGTGCTGTGACCCTCAAATTTTCTTCCTTCTCTGGAGGGGAACAAGGTAAATGACCCACAAGACTTATCATCATATGGGGCTATAGTATGTCAACTGTTGTCACCATACTGATTTTTGCACCAGCTGGCTAAGGGGTGGCAGGCCTCAAGGTCCAGTTCAGAGTGTCTCATAGTGGGGTCCCATAGAGTACAGGATGCTCTCCTCTCTGATCCCCAAGGCCCTCTGAGGGGCTTAAGGCTCTCTACTAATGGGTCACCTTATCAGGAAAATGAGGAAAGTGTAAGTCACCTCCCAGCCTGATACACTCCAAGGGAGACAGCTTTACTCTGGCTCGTGGGAGGTGCCACCATGGTGGATCCTCTTGGGATACTAGCGGTCTAGTTTTGGGGTGGGGGTGGGTTGTAGTAATGGGGAGCAAGGCTTTAGGTGTACCGAGGTCTTGGTTGTAATCAGATTGCCCTGATCACTGACTCTAATGGTCCTGTGGCTCTTTATTCTTACCTTTGGTTTCTTGTAGAAGCCAGAGAGATACCATCTAACAACTTGCTTCATACGACTTAAGGGATCTTCTTCCAGGACAGCTCTGGTAAAAGAGGCAGAGGAAAGAAGAAATTCACTTAAAGATTACAGGGGTGCCATGTGTTGTTCCATTTCCCATCCATCTCATGCAGCTGGAACTGTGGGAGCATGGGAGAGGGATGTGGCCACTCCGCACAATCCATTGGCACAGTCACTGCTCAAGATGGGGCAGGGGACCTCCACCAGGCAGATGGGCTAAGGCAAGGATGGCAAACTCAAGTAGAATGTTAGGGGGCCCATACAGAAGGACCTTTGCCAGCAGGTGGACTCAGAAAACCCCATGTCACCACTATCTATAGTGTCAGCATTATCTATGCTCTGTGGGTTTTTCTTTCTTTTGTCAAATATTGCCCAATCACACTTTAATCTCATTTGAGCAGCACTCAGAGAGTGGAGGGATTATTTCTGCAGACTGTGTGTCTAACACCTTTGCTATCGTGGCTAGAATACTTGACTTGGATTGAGGACATCCCGGATTCAAATCCCACCTCAGATACTTGCTGGCTGGGTGACCCTGGGCATGTCACACCAACTCATCACCAACTTTTCTCCCCCCTAAAGTGAGGGCATTGGAAATGATGGCCTCTCAGGCCCCTTCGGTACCTAATCTTTGGTCCTCTGTTCTGTTAATGTGGCAATATGGATTTTCCTATGATCCTTCCAAAGGGCTGGCTGGTCCAGGTCTGGTCCTTGAAAGGACCATTCTGCTTGGTGTAGAGGGTAGAAGCAGGAGTAATTGAGTGAGTAGGCAAGGTCAGAGAGGAAGAGTTAGGCTGGATGTCAGGAGGAAGTTTCCAACCATGAGAGCTATCTATCATGGAATGTTGATTGATGGGTCAACTGAAGGAAGGGGGGCTATTTAGCTGGAGAAGAGAAAATTCAGGATTGGGACACGAGAGTGGTGTTCAGCGATAAGAAGGGCTCTCCTGGGGAAGAGCCATTAGACTACTTCTGCCCGGCTCGGAGCAATGAGGGGAAGCTGCCAAAAAGACAAATGTGTGCTCTCTAGAAAGAAGCAAGGAGAGCGATTTCCAAGTGGAATGGGCTGCCTTCACCCTCTTTGAAAACCTTCGATGGCTAGATGGCCACTAGTGAGAGCTGAGGGTGAGGGGATTCGTGTTCAGATAGGTTGAGTTTAGGAGCCTTTGAGGTACTTTCCAGCTCTAAGGTCAATGGTCCAGCACAGATCCCTGGGGTCCTCCATTGGAGGCCTCCTCCTACACATGGACTACATGTGCCTGACCTGTGGTAGAACGTTCCGAGCTCGTATCGGTCTGATCAGCCCCAGTTGGACACACTGTAACTTGACTCTAGCATAGTGATGTCACTTTTGTCCTCTTCAGAATAAAGGACAACAACCCAGCCTTCTACAAGGACATCAAACAGCCAATTCCTGGCCTTGGGTGCTGCCACTAAGCAAGGTCCTAATCTACTTAATTGTACTCTCATTTAGCTCACATCTCTCCATCTTTCCCACAAGTACTGCAGGAGAGACTGTAATAAACCCTTCACTAAAATCTTGGTAAACCATGTCTACACTCTTCCCTTGATCTACCAGCCCAGTAACTCTGTCAACCAATCCAATCCCATGGCACACCCTGTTTTTGAGGAAGCCATGGTCATCTCTTTGTGATCAACATTTACTTTTCTAGATATCCCCTTTAAGGACGCTCTGTAATTTTGTTAGCAATCAACGTAGTTCTCTCTAGCCTATATTTTGCAGACTGTCATCTTTTCCTTTCTTTTAAACCAGGGACAATTGGAAAGCTGACTCTGGGTCCATGTGAGGATAGCCTTTGTCAGAACTGTCCAACAATGGGCTTGGGATGCTAATGAGCTGCTTGTTGTTGAAGTGTGCAAGCAGAGGCTGGAGGATAGCAAAGCCCCACAGGGGCTCACATCCCACAATCTCAGAGCTGGAAGAGACCCGGGAGCTCCCTGAGTCCAACTACAGCCTGAGCCAAGAGTCCCTCTGCTACAGAGAAAGGGCTTAGGCCCCAGTGGATGGGCTAGGGCACAGCCAAGGGTTCTTTCACTGCTGGGATTCTGCTTTCTTCAAAGCCCCATGGGACTTAGTAAAGAGGAGAGGTATAAGTCCTAGTCAATCCATTGGCTTTGCTTTGGGCAGGTCATTAAATCAGAGTCCCCAAGGCCTCTGAAACCTGGCACTGTACCTTTCTAACTTCACATTCTGTGCTTCCTCTCCAGCCACTCCACACACGGGACAGCCAAGCTGTTCATGGCTTTCTCTGCCCTCCTCCTCCCACCCCCCCCTTCTCCTGTCTCCACGGCTGCCCTTCTCTGTTGAATGCCTCATCATCATTTAAAGCTCAAATCTAAGGTCTGCTCAACTGAAAGGACCTTGGACGCTGAGCTAGAAGGAAGCTCGGAAGTAATCTGGCCTAACTCTTTTGTTTTCCAAGTGAGCAAACAGGCCCAGAGAGGCCAAGGAACGGGCTTGAGGTTGCACAGGAAGGAAGGGCCCCTGACTGTAAGTTTAGCATGATTTCCATTGCAGCAGGATGGCACCTTCTTGTCTGTTCTGTCCAGTCCAACCCAACAAATATTCATTGAGCCTTCCAGCAAGCAAGGCACTAGGCTGGAACAAGGACAAAGTGGAGTGGGTCTTACCCTCAGAAAGATTTACTCTGATGGGGAAGATACACTAACACAGATAATTAAAGACAAGGAAGGACCTTCCTCCTCAGAGCACATACAGTTGTTTGTACCCTCCTAATGAATGCATCCTGCAATACTGGGTCATGGTGCTCTATACTGGTGCCTTATCTTCCCCTTCCACTCTGAGTTCCATGACCTTTGATCTCCCCTAGTACCAAGCACAGGCTAGCTAGGTGGTGCTACAGTGGATAGATTGATGGGCTAGAGTCAGGAAGACTCATCTTCCTGAGTTCAAATCCAGCCTCAGACACTCCCTAGCTGTGTGACCCTGGACAAGTCACTTCACCCCATGTGCCTCAATTTCCCCATCTGTAAGATGAGCTGGAGAAGGAAATGGCAAACCACTCCAGTATCTTTGCCGAGAAAGCCCCAAATGGGGTCATGGAGAGTCAGACAGAACACCATCACCACTATCACCACCCCCACCATCCCCACCACCACCACAGGGTTCTGCATACCATAGGTGATTAACAAATGTTTGTTGACTAATTAGATTGATATGAACCTTCAAAGCTAATTTCTCTCACCTTTTCCTATGGCTATAAAGTCCTCTGGCTCTTAAAGCCCTTCCTACCTTCAAAGCTCACCTCAACCTTAATCCCCTGCCCATACTCTGCACTCTGGTGACATGGTCTTCTGCGCTGCTCTTCCCATGTGACACTCCATCTCTCTTCTCTGGGAGTGTTCACTGGCTGGTCCCCAAGCCTGCAGCTTTCTCCCTCCTCATCTCCACCTCCTGGCTTCCCAGGCTTCCTTCAAGTCCCAGCCGAAATCCCGCCTTCTTGGAGAAGCCTTTCCAGATCCTCTTAATGCTGGGGCCCTCCCTCTGGGATTGCTTCCACGTGTTTGTAAGTATTTGTTTGCATACAGCCTCCCCACTAAAATGTGAGCTTCTTGAGGACAGGTGCTGTCTTCTGCCTTTCTTGGTATCTCCAGCCCTTAGCATAGTGCTCAGAATACAGTAGGTGCTTCATAAAGGCTTGTTGACCTGACTAAAAACAGAACTTTCTATTCCCACATTTGCTATGCGCTGGCCAGGTACTAGGGGATTGGAGCAGGGGATGCACGTTCCATGACTAGCTGCAGACCTCTCCTCATCTTGAAAGCTGTGGAAAGTGGTGGGAGGTTCCCACGCCCCCTTACTTGGCTACATGTCCCCTTTCTGATTGCTCCTGCTTGAGATCTTTGTTGTCCTTGGATGTTTGCATGCTCATCCAGGGCCGCATCCTTTATTCCGCTAATGCTCTCAACTGTGGATCCGTGAACACCACCAGCCCGACTCCATCTAGAATGTCTGGTCATCTCAATGCTCTGAGTGCCCGGTGGCTCCAGAGGCAGCCACACCTTCAAACAGGCCATAGAAGGGAGAACAGGAGCCCTCCCACAGACTGGCCAGGAAACCTTCCTCAGGCAGTGGCCTCCTCATGGCCTGTGCTTCCTACATCATCTCTTGCCCTTCTCTCCACGTAGCGTGCAGATGTTACTCCCGTCTGATACATTATACAATGGCTTCTTCACCTCGTCGGTGCCTCAGGACCTCTATTCAGTGGCTGGATGAGAACCATTTCCCATTCCCCTGTTTGCCTTCACCCTGCCTCAGTAGGTTCTGATCGTTGGATGCCAAAAACAATCCCCTTTCTTCATGCCTCCAATACAGTACATTTTACTCCAGCTCTTGGTTTAAGACTGAGCCTTAGCCGCCAATGCAGGTTAGCACACCACACTCCAGAGCATGTGTGCCCCACAAAGCCACACTCCAGAGTCTACGAGCTCTAGAACCTGACATGCAAGAGCTTCCGAGCTTGAAAAGCTAGAGCAGCAAACTACCAAACCCACCAGATGACCCCTTGGCCAAGAAAAGGCTGGAGAGAGGGGGCAACACTCCTCTCCACTTCACAATTCCATCCTAAGCTTGTGACTGCCAGGAGTTAGAGCTCTGAGTGACCCCAGAGATCACTTAGCCCTAATTTTATTATTCTCCAGACTGGGGAAGGCACTTGCCCAAGGTCGCAAAGAGTAAATGGCAGAACTGAGATTTAAACCTAGGTTCTCCTGTGATTCTAGGGCTTTTTCTTGGGACCGAAGGCTTCCAGCCTCTCTGAAGATGGTGTGAGCTCCAAACATGTTGGAAAGGAGCTTTCCTTTTCCTCAGGCAAGGATGCCTGGGGCCAGAAGCACACAGATGTCAAAGCCTCCTGGGACTGGAACCCTTCTAGGCTCCATTCGGTCTCAAAACACAGATGACAGATCATATCCCTCCCCTGCTCAAAAATCTTCCATGTCTTCTGTGCTGCCTCTGGGATAAAACCCAACAGGCTCCCCCTGGGATCTTCTCTCCAGCCAACTGGGCTCCTACCTACCTTTTACCCCTTGTTTTAGATTGCTCTGAGCCCAGTCCAACAAACATTAATGCCCTTCTTGAGCTCTTTGTCCAATACACTAGCTTACTTGTGGTTGCCCAGAGGCGACACGCCTTCTTCTATCTTTGTGCCTTCACAAGGCTCTTCATACCCTACACCTGCCCGGCACATATTCCCTCCACGCCTCAGCCAGCGGGACCCCTCCTTTCCTTCAAAGCTTAGCTCAGCTATCACTTAGGATGTGGATACCATGTGCCTGAGGCCAAGGACTATTTCATGTTGTTGCTGCATTCTCGTTGTCCAGCATGGCATCTGGCCGTGGACGGGGTGTAATAAATGTCTGTGCAGTACTACGCGCTCAGGCACTTACTGAGACAGCAGATCTGCATGGTAGTAGTAGTCAGATAGTTTGTTGAGGAAGGATCGTGGCTCCAGGATGAATGTGGGAAGCACCACTCGGGACAAGTCCATCCCTGGCCGAAGCTGTTTCAGCAGGATCCAGATGAGGCTCTTATTTTCATCAGAGACCGTCTCGGTCTGTGAAGATTCTCCTGTCTGAGGAAACAAGAAAAAAGCTCAGCCAAAGAGCTGGGACTTGGAAGACGATGCTCTATTAATGGTGGATTTGGCCAAAGAGGGCACTGGAGATGCCGTCCTCATTTTTGCAGGTGAGCCCTCAGGGAAGGGCTGGGACAAGTGATTAGGGAGAGATGAGCTCCCAGCTTCACTCCATGTCTCTGTCCATGGTGGAGGCTGCAGGCTGGTGCAGAGCATAAAGGCCTGGACCTTGGGTCAGGAAGACCTGAGTTTGTATCCTGCCTCAGACATCTGCTAGCTGTGCGACCTTGGGCAAGTCTCATCACCTCTGTGTACCTCTGTTTCCCCACCTGTAAAATGTAGATGATAATAGCACCTACCTCCCAGGGTTGTGGTGAAGATCAAAGGAGCTAACACATGTGAAGTGCTTTGCAACCGTGCAAGGGTTCTACAGACACCAGCTGTTATTATTGGTGCTAGGTGGGAGAGGCCAGGATGACTTTATCTAATATGCTTGCAGGATCAAAAGCTTACTGCCTGCACCAAAGGGCTATTAATCTCTCCAGAGTTTGAGAATGTGAGTAGAAAGCCCTTGCTGTAACAAGAGGGCAGCTGACATTGTAAAGTCCAGGGAGAAGCCCAGTGTCTGTCACATAGTAAGACCTTAATAGTAGGCACTCAGTAGGCTTGTTGCATTGACTTGAACCAGTCTAGACAGACACTATAGACCCTCCCCCTCCAAGAGCTCTATCACACCACACACATGAACATATATAGACACATACATAAGAACACACACGTGTGTGTGTGTGTGTGTGTGTGAGTGTGTGCATGTGTGTGTATCTGTAGGCCTTGGACCTGGGTTAGGAATTAATTAATTAATTAATAATTTCATTATAAAAACCAGAGGGCCAGAGTGAGTGAGACTGTAAGCTCTTAGAAGGCAGAGGAGGCAGTGTGCTGCAATGTTTAGAGCATGGGGGTTGTAGGCTGGCTCTGTCACTCTACTCTACTGGTGGCCCTGGATGTAACCTTCCTCTGGCAAGGAGGGATAACACTGCCCCTTCCCTGATTGGCTCATGGGGAAAGCCCACCCCCAAATCAGACCATAAAGGAAGGGCAGAATCTAAGAGATGAGAATAATAATAATGACGATGACAATGATAATGCCAGCTAACACTTACGTAGTGCCTTAAGGTTGGTGAAATGCTTTACATTCATGATTTCATTTCATCAGAGGCCACTAATCAAACAACCAACCAAGATGTATTGTGCTATTGTGGCAAGGTAAAAAAAGCAGAGTCCCTGCCCCCACCCTTTCCCCAGGAGCTTCTTCTTTTGGGGTCAGCCGTGCGCATCTGTAAGTACGCACCATGGAAACAAGGACGCTGCGCGGGGGTCAGGAAGGATCTCACCTAGAAGACAGTGCTTGTCTTAAAGGAAGCCAGGGATTACCGTGGAGGGAGGTGAGGATGGAGGGCATTCCAGGCATGGAGCTGGAAGAGCAGGAGGAAGGCCAGTTTGGCCGGACTGCGTAGTTGGGAAAGAGGAGGAATTAGGTTGTAAGAGGGCTGGAAAGGCAGGCTGGGGGCTCGGAATGCACAGGACAGAGGGCCGGACCTGTCAGAGGCAAGGACGTCTTGGGCAGAGCTTCCTGGTCCTGGCAGGGGTGTGGGAGCAGGGTTTGCTCATCTCCACAATGGGGACAGCCCCCCCCCCCCACCGCGACACCTCCCTCGAAGGGACGCACACTCTAAATTAGCGCTGTCTCCCGGTTCCTACCTCCCCGAATTCTTCGTAGATCTGCTCGATGTACGTTGTCCCTTTTTTCTCCTGACCGAGCTCCCCGGGGGTTTCCGACTGGTCGCTCTCGCTGTCGTTGGTTTTCCGGCTGTTTTCTCGGGTGTCGTTCTCCGACTCCTCGATGGTGTCTTTCTCTGACCTGTCTGAGAAAGCGTCGTTCTCCAGCTGATGGTTTTCCAGGGAGGCCTCGTTCAGCCTGAAACATATGTGGGGCCCCAGGTCAGAGGCCTCCTTGGACAGTTCCTTCCGTCGCCTGAGGGCCAGGCGATGCCCCAAACAAAAGCGCAGCAGCAGTAGTGGGGTGATGGGATGACCTCACCTGCACCCCCAGAGCAGAGCCAGGGGCACAACGCTCTGGTCAGAAAGTCTTTTCCCTCCGGACTTGGGGAGAACAAAGCAGAGGAGGTGATCAGGCTTAACCCTTTAAACAGCCGTTGCAGACCCAACCTGAGCATGGGGGCCGAGTTCAGCCTTTGGAGGGATGGAGGAAGGAGAAACACACCAGAAAGAGAGAGAATTCCACCCCCAAACTCCGCCCAGCCATTCTGGTGGAGCAGCAGAGAGTGCGCTGTGTTCAGATCCTGCCTCAGATACCAGCTGGGGGACCCAGGCCTCGGTGAACAAAGTCAGCCTCAGTTTGTCCCCGTGTAAAATGAGGTCAGACTCCATGGCTTCTCATAGCCTTTGCAGGCCTCTCTCTATGGTGCCGCGATCTTCTGTGCTCCACTGAGGTTCAGAGGGGGGAAGCGATTTGGTCGGGGTCACACAGCTAGCAAGGGTCAGACCCAGGGAGCTCTGGATTGCTTCTCTGAGATGATCTCTACTACCAGACTGGGCTCTCTGAGGCCCACGACTGAGTTTCTCACATCCTTCAAAGCAGGATTCTCAGTGGATGGTGTCTCATGTGCAGGGAGTTGGAGAGTATAGTGATCAGCACAGGAGGGGAAGGCTGGGTATTCTTGGGCAAGACAAGTGGCTGCTGCTAAATCACAGTCACGTTTGACACAAACCCACTCTGGACACAGGAACCCACAATACAGACTCACAAGGATGATGTAAGCCCCCTAGCCCCCTGTGCATTTACACTAGAGGATTTGATTCTCACACACCATTCAGAGGGGCAGTGCTTGTGCAAAGTGAGGCACAAAGGCACTCAGAGAAGGGAGGGAGAGGATTGTGTGGTCAATGGCCTCTCCCCCCCTCCACACATGGGTCTCAAGTCCAGCCCAGCCTTGGTCCTCCCTTGCCCTGCCTGGCTCATGGCTTACTGAAAGAGATCCTGGTCTGAGATGGTCCCACCATGCAGCAGCCCATCCAGAGGCATCTGGGAGGAGTCCAGCTGGCAGGTCAGCTCTCCGTCCTTCCCCTGTTTGGAGGCACTGAGCTGGAAGAGGCTGGAGCAGCGCAGAGCCAACTCCAGGGCGTCCAGCCAGCAGCGGCCTGTGCGGGGAGAAACAACAAGGATGCTTCATGTTTCTACCCTGCTGGAAGGCTAATACAATGTTTTCCTAAATCTTTGTGTCAAATATCCCGAGGAGGGTCTCATATCCAAGATATACAGGCAATTAACTGAATATTTAAGATGGGGAGCACATCTAGGGTTAGGGTTAGGGTTATGCTCCCCAGTGGTCAAAAATATGAACAAGCAGGCCTCAAAAAATTTAAACGATTAGCAACTATATGGAAAACTCATCATGAGAACAATCCAAAGGGAAACAACCTAGTGCATTGGCAAAGATGACCCCAAATGGGAAGAGTCGATGCTGGAGGGAGTCAGTGTGGAAAGACAGGGCTGCTGATTCATTGTTGGCGGAGCTGTGATGGGTCTAACCACTGAAGAAAACAATTTGGAATTATGTGGAGAAAATGATTAAGATCATTCTCTTAAAAAAATTAAAGTGATCTCACTGACCCGGGGATGCCACTGCTAGGTACATACCCCAAAGAGGTCAATGTCAAAGACAAAGGGTCTGCAGACACCAAAATATTGACAGCCACCCTTTTTGTGGTTTGAAGGACCCCTGGGAGCTGAGTTGGTGCTCAATGACCGGGAAATGGTTGAAGAAGTCACAGTGCATGAGTGGAATGACATTTATTAAGCACCAACTATGTGCCTAGCTCTGGGGACACAAAAGGAGGCAATCTCTGCTCTCAAGGAGCTTGCATGACTGTGCTGTAGGAAACAATGAATGTGACTACAGAGAAGCCTGGGAAGACTTCTATGGACTGATGCAGAGAGAAGGGAGCAGCACTGGAAAAACAATGTCTGAAACAATTGCAACAATGTAACCAAACAGAACAGCTCCACAGGGAGCAGCAGCTGTGAAATTCCTTGTGGATGAGGGGGACCAGAAACCCTGCAGACAAGGTTAGCCTTTCCGATGGGAGGGGAAGGAGAAGGGATGCATTAGGAAATGTAGGCGATGCAAGAACAGAAGATAGCCTTAAGATTTTATTTAAGAAAAAAGTGTAAGCTCTTTGAGGCCAGGGAACATCTTAATTTATATCTGTATGCCTAGCTCTCAGCATAGTGTCTGGACACAGGAAGTGGCTGATGGATGTTTTTTCAATCATGAACTAAACAAAAATAAAGTATTTTCCTCACAGGAAGGAAAGGAACAAGCACATACATACATACATACATACATACATACATACATACATATACACACATACACACATATACACACATACACACATATGGATATGTATATATACACACATGGGTGTATGTATGTATATATAATATGTATAATCCCCCCCAATTGCACATTACGACAATTTTTAATTTTTTTTTTATTTGAAGTTTTGAGTACCAGATTCTATCCCTCCCTTCCCCTTCCCTAAGACGTAAACACTCAGATATAGGTTATACATGTGCAATCATGTAAACATTTCCATATTAGTCATTTGAAACAAGCATTTCTTAAGCACCTACTGTGTGCCAGGTACTGTCCTAAGCACTTTATAAATGTTATTTCTTTTGATCCTCACAACAGCCCTGAGAAGCAGGTGTGGTGTTATCCTCATTTTACAGCTGAGGAAACTGAGGCAGACAGTGGTTAAATGACTTGCCCAGGGTCATGCAGTTAACAGGGGTAATCAGTCCTTTGTCCAATGGCCAGCTCCAAGATCGTATCATTTGTTTCTTCCCTTCTCTCAGCTTCAGTTTTCTCCTTCATCCAACGATGGGTCCATTGGATTAGGGGCTTTCTAAAGTTCCTTCTAATTCTCATAAAGGGGGATCCTGGAATGCCAGACTCAGAAGCAGCCAGGGCATTCTCTCTGTGGGTTCTCCTGTTTATAGTGTGCCCCTCAATGCCCTCTGCCTTCCCCCGCCACACACAATGTCCCTGCTGGACGTACTTTCCTGGGAACCCAAAGCAGGGTCTTGTTTTTGTGGAGAGTGAGTTTGGTGGTTGGCTGCTGGACTAAGGGAGGCTCGGAAGGACAAGGCTGTTGATGTTGCTGCATCACTCCAAGAGCTTGGGGGAATTTTCTGTGATGGTTTTCTCTACCATGGAGCCAGAAAAGGCACCAATCTCAATTCAACTCAGGCCAGCTTTCCAAAAGGGAAAAGAACTAGCTTTTCAATCCATCAATCAACATTTATTAAGCACCTACTGTGTGCCAGGCACCGTGCTGGGGATGCAAAAAGAGGCAAAAGACAGGCCCTGCCCTCAAGGAGCTCACCGTCAAACTGGGGAGACAACAGGAAAACAAATATATACAAAGTAAGCTATAGAGAAGAAAAATAGGAAATGATTATTGGGAAGGTGCTGGAATTAAGAGGGGTTGGGAAGAACCTCCTGTAGCAGGTGAGATTTTAGGAGACTTATGGGAGCCAGGGAGGTCACTAGGGGAACAGAGGAGGGAGAGCCTTCCTGGCACGGGATGAAATCGGTCTCCTCGGTCCTGGGACGGCTTGATGGGAGGGTCATTGATCTCTTCACCTTAACACCTGCACTTTTCCCTTATGGTCGCGCTCTTTCGCAGACGGCCATAGGAGGGCGCTGCAGGGCAAGGATTGAAAGTGAGGCCCTCCAGTGCAAAGCTATTTGCTTTGGGGCTTGGGCCAAACCCAGGCAGAACGATGGAGGTTGGGGGCTTGGGCCCCAAACCACAGGGTCTTACAAATGGGAGGGGGGCACCCGAGAGGGGCCTTGGAGGCCATCTTATCCCACTCTGTCATATTACAGGGGAGGAAACTGAGGGGCAAAGAAAAGGCCCCGAGACTACCCTGTGAATAGATGCGGAGTCAGCATAAGAAGCCTGGTCTGGGGAGATGCCCTCAGCTCTCTTCTCCAGGTCACACTGCTTTCCTCAGAGAGCGGCTGACTCAGAGCTCGGGGAGCAGGGGCCAGGCTGAGAAAGAAGTCCCTGTAGAGGGCAGAGCCATAGGGCGTCTGCCCCAAGGAGAGCTCAGGGTATTTGGGCACGTCTGTGACCGGCAAGGGTGCTGCCTTGGAGGATAACCACCCGGGTCATGGCTCCTGGGAGATCCAGGTCCTGGGGGGGGGCATGCTGACATGCCTCATGTTCTTACCTCCTACCTAGAAAATGACCTGGGGTTCTGGGTCTCCAGTCTCCAGTCTTTGTAGAGAGAAGCTGTTTAGTAGATGTTTGTTGACTGACTGACTGACTGAAAGGTCCAGTTGGCAGCCCAGGGAACGCAGACCCTCTCTCTGCTGTGCTCAACATGCACAAGGCTGATGGAATGCAAGCCTTGGGAGGGCAGAGAGTGCCTTTTGTATTGGCATGGCACAGGGCCTGGGACTGAGAAGGCATTTAATTAATGCTTGTTGACTGACTGATTGACTTTGTGTTCTGGAGAGAGAGTGAGTGAGAGATCTCTGAATCAATCACCTCTGCTCCTTGCCACCCTTGCGGCCCTCCTCTAGGCCTCAGTTTCCCTTTCTGCAAAATGATAAGGTTGAATTGGATCATGTCCAGGGTCTTGTCCATCTACAGAGTTGAAGGAGCTGGGAGTGTTCAGTCTGGTTTACAGAAGGCGCTTAACAAATGCTCATGGTTGCGGGGAAGCAGAGTGAGGCTTGAGTCAGGGAGAGCACTGTCACCAAGCATGATGGGCTGCTGGGTGGTCCACGGGCCGAGTGTCCCAGAGGGGAAGCCTGAGGGTGTTCCAGCTGAGGCTGGAGGGGCTCTCCCTGGCTGGCGCACAGAGGGATTCTTGCTCTGGTACAAGCTGGCACCCTTCTGACTCCGCAGACCCTTTATGGCTGACAGCATTTGGTCCCAGACCAGGAGGGAAGCTGGGTGTGGGTGGGGTAGAATGCTTACCGTCAGACTCAGAGGGCGCTCTGAAGATCAGGTAGCTGCTGGGGAGGGGCTGGGTGATGGAGCCCACATTCTCCCCTTTCGGACCCTGGGGGAGCAGACACACAAGCAGACGGTGAAGGAGCTGAGGGGCCTAGGGTGACACCCCCCCCATCCTCTGAGGATCAGATGGAGCCCTCAGCCTTGTGGGAGGGAGAGGGCATAGAGGTGTCCATGCCTCCCAAGCCTCTTGCCCGCAGGGAAATATCAGTGAGGCAGGCTGCTGGGGGTGTCTGGTACCCACGTCCTCAGGAAAAGCCTCGGCAGTCACCCCTGGGCAGCTGGGGGTGCATTCCATTCCCACAGGCCTTCAAAGCCATTCTCTCCTTGGAGTCTTAGGAAGACCCTGGAGGGCTGGCTGGGGTCATTCCTTCCATTGTACAGATGAAGAAACTGAGGTCCACAGAAAGAAGGGGACCTGACCATCCAGTGACCTGGTCTCTTGGCTAATTCTAGGGCTATCCCACTCCTCCCAGTGCCCTCTTCCCTCCCCTTCTGTATATTATTTTGCTCTCTGTCCTCTGGCCAGACCTTAAGAGCCGATTCGCTGCCCCAGGGCAGGGGGCTGGACCAGGTGAGCCCTTCAGGTCCTTCGGCTAGTTGTATGGGGTGGAGTGACTTTGCAAATGCCCAGGGATCCGGCCTGGATTCAAAGACCCTGGCCACCTCTTTCCCTTCTGGCCTGCCCTGCCAGAGGCAGCTCAGCTTGGCCTCTCTGAGCTAGGCAATGGGGTTAAGTGACTTGCCCAGGGTCACACAGCTAGTAAGCGTCAAGTGTCTGAGGCTGCATTTGAACTCAGGTCCTTCTGACTCCAAGGCAGGAGCTGTATCCACTGGGCCACCTCGCTGCCCCCTCCCCCACTGCATCACCTCACTGCCCCCTGCTTGGCCTCTTTGGAAGCTACCTTCAGGGCTTTGCCCCTCTCCAGGTCTCCCTCAGGACCTTACCTTCACGGCCCAGATGGACTGGTCCAGGGGGTGAAACAGCTTAAAGCAGAAGCCATCCTTCTTGGAGGGCCTCTCGATAAGCTCGCAGGAGTGCAGCAGGATGGTGCCCACCCACTGGCCCACCTTGGGTGTCTTGTAGACCAGCAGCACGCCTGGCTTCAGGATGCACCAGAGTTTGGTCCAGCTCTTGAGGGTGCCCCGGATCTGAGCCACGGGAAGAAGGAAGAGGGTTGGAGCCACAGCGCCTGTCATCATCCCCATTTCACAGCTGAGGAGGCTGAGGCTCAGAGCTGGGCCCTCCCTCCGCCTTCTCTCGAGTCGTCTCACCAGAACCTTTCCTGACACTCTTCCCTGCCCTGGCACGGAATTTCTTGAGCCCTGCTGTGTCCCTTCCAGCGGAATGGGAACTTTGAGGGCAGGGCCTAGCTCATCTTTCTAGGCCCAGCACACAGCAGGTGCTTAATGAATGATTGCGAGATGTATGGATGAGCTTTTTTTATACACAGGCCAGTTCGTGTCTCTGGGGGTTCTCTGTCACCTCCCAAGGAGAGTTCTGATCTCCTGCCTGCCCGCAGAGCCCTCCACAGCCTGGTGCCATCCCGGCCTTACTGATGGTTACCTGCCTCTAGATAGCCCATGCCGCCACCAAATGGGGTGTCTCTTCCCAATCCCCCAGATGCAGCCAAAACTCCTGGTGCCCCTTGTGCCTAGAACTGCCCTCCTCTTTCCCCTTCCTCTTGTTAATGCTTACTCCCGCATTACAGTACAGCTCTGATGCCGCCTCCAGGAAGCCTTCCCTGCTGCCTTCAGCCGGGAACAGCCTTTGTCTTGGGTTGGCTACAGGGTTGAGCCTGGTTCTTTTCTAACGCACATTGCACGCCAGGCAGAATGCCCAGTTATTTGGATTGTCATCTGACGTCCTGGCAGGCTGGAGGGTGGTCCCCATCCCCATTATCCCCCCAACTCTGGCAGCATACCCCATTTCAGGTGGGTTTCGTTCCCCTCCCCGAATGCCACCCCCTTCTCTCCCCCTTCCCAGAGCAGACAGCGCCCCATCCTGTTTCGAATGACCATCTAGAGGCACCCAGCATCTGGCTGGATTTCCTGGTCCCAGTGGGATGAGGCAGCCTGGCCTGGGGGCTGTCCCTGGAAGGTTCCAATGCTCCAGCCTGTTAGAAGAACTCACCTGCCTCATCCTCTGAGGCTGGGGCCCTGGGTGGTGTCCTGGCCTTGGACTAGCCTCCATCTGACCACCACAGTGACCATGGGGGAAGAGGAGCCGGTGGCCTGGGTGTCCCTGGGGCTGCGATGCAGAGCAGGGAGGGGCAGCCTCGAGGGCCTCCCTGGGGCCTCCCTGACTCATCTCCCCTTCACTCTCTGCAGTAGGACACCAGCCTGGCCTCCTGGCTATTCCTCATACATGATTGTCCATCTCTCATCTCTGGGCTGAGCTGCAGGCTCCGGTGATGCCCGGCCTGCTCCTCCCTCCCCTCTGCCTCCTGGAACCGCTCACTTCCTCCAAAGCTATGGGTACACATGGTCCACGGGCCCCCTGAGTGAGGCCCTTTCTGACCCCCTCAGGTGCCAGCACCTCCCTGCAAGGATGTCTTTAGATTTAGCTTGTCTCTAGAGCAATGCATGTTATTCACACACACACACACACACACACACACACACACACGCACACGTACATACACATGTACACATTCCCATCTCTCCTGATAGAGGGCAGTGACCATCTCAATTTTTTCCTCTATAAAATGAGGGCTTGGTGGAGATAGGACCTTGAAGGGACTTCCGGCTCTTGGCCCTAACACCCTGCGGCTGATGTCTGGAATCCTGTACCTTCAGCCAGTCAGCCATGATGACCACACTGGGGTCCTTCAGGGCACTGAACAGTTGCTGTGTGGCGCGCTTCTTCTCCTGTCGGTAATTCCTCTTTTGGACCTGATTTGGGGAGGAGGCTCAGGGTTAGTCATGTTAGAGTTTGGAGGGAAGAGGAGGAGGCAGGGGAGGAGAAGGAGGAGGAGGAAGAGAAAGAGGAGGAGAGGGAGGAGGAAGAGGAAGAGGAGGAGAGGGAGGAAGAGAAGGAGGAGGAAGAGGAAGAGAAGGAGGAGGAAGAGGAAGAGGAGGAGGAAAGGGAGGAAGAAGAGGAGGAGGAAGAGAAAGAGAAGGAGGAAAGGGAGGAAGAAGAGGAGGAGGAAGAGGAAGAGAAGAAGAGGAAGAGAAGGAGGAAAGGGAGGAGGAAGAGGAAGAAGAGGAGGAGGAAGAGGAAGAGAGGAAATAAGAGGAGGAGGAGGAGGAAAGGGAGGAGGAAGAGAAGGAGGAAGAGGAGGAGGAGGAAGAGGAAGAGAAGGAGGAAGAGGAAGAGAAGGAGGAAAGGGAAGAAGAAGAGAAGGAGGAGGAGGAAGAGAAGGAGGAAGGAGGAGGCAGGTGAGGAGGAGGGGCACCAGGGAGGGGCAGGCAGCAGACTGCTTGAGGGTCCGCTGCTGCCCTGAGTGCTCCCGGTCTCCCCTCCCCCTCCCTTAGGGCTGGCATCAGAGGAGGGGATGGGGAGCACCCCTGGGGGCCCTCGCTCTCCCCCCACAAAACCTCAAGGCCTCCCTCACCTTGAGAGTCTCTTTCTTGGTGACTTTGGCCGTGGGCGACAAGGACTCTCGGTCAGGTCCGTTGCAAAGCCTGTAGTCGTTATTCTGTGTAAAAAGGGGAGACACAGAGAGAGGTCAGATGGGGGAGATGGCCACCACCTCTGTGGGCCTGAGGGCATGCCGGGCTTTGTCGTGGGTCTGGGGTTCCCGGGCAGCCTCTGCCGGGGGATGTGTGGGGACACGCTTGGTCCCATGGGCTATCCTTATCCCCACAGCTGCCGATGGGGCCTTTGGTCCTGGCTCCATCACCGCTTCTTGGCTGTGGTGAGCATTTGTCAGAGGGCGGGAACAGGGCACAGAATACGTGTTCTCATGTTTGACTCAGGGCTTGTCCTCCCATGGGATTCAACATTCCCTGGACAGAAAGTGCCTCAAGAATCACAGCACCTCAGGGCTAGAAGGGACCATCTGCTTACCCAGGGGAAGAATTTCCTTTAGAGGACGCCTGATTATTCAGCCTCTGCTTGAGTACTCCCGTGGTGGGGAGCTCACTACACATAGTGGCACAGTCCCTGCTACTTCACCATTAGCAAGTTCGTGCTTAGACTTTTATAGCAAAGGATTCTATGGAGCAGGCAGCATGTCTCGTGCCCCTCCCCGCCCCCACTGTCTTCTGCTACATCATGCAGCTCTGTGCCAATCAGTCTCTGCAACAGAGCCCTCCTTGTGTCCCATCCATGGAGTATTCAACCCAGGAATCAGGGTTTCCCCCCACCCCACAGAGCAGCTTCATCTAGGGATACTTGTTCATCACCCACTGGTCCTTGGGCCAGGTGCTGTGGGGGAAGGAGGAGGGAAGAGGGAGGAACCATACCCGAAGACACCTGGGAGCTCTCAGCTAGCTGGCAAACACGACACACTCATGAAACAGAGACAAAAGCAGCGCCAGGGATGACCCAGTGCCAGGCTGTGGGCTGAAGCTCCCTGCACTGGAGGAGGCTGGAGACGAGCAAACAGATGCTGAAAATCATGAATAGCTCGATGCCAGGTTCCTGAGGCTCAGCCCAACTGGGGCAGGCCGTGTGTCAGAGAATCACGGCTCAGGTGGTTAGGGATAGGGAGAAGGAGAAGATGCAGGTCTCCCACCCCTGACATTCCATGTTCTAAGTTCCCTTCCAGATTAGACAGTCCATGTTCTAGGCTCTAAAGGCAGGTTCTCTCTGCTCTGACATTCTATAGGCTATAGTTTTTCCCAAGGGCCCTCCCAGCTCTGATATTCTGTGTGTTGTCCCCTGCCTCACCTAAAGACAGTTGCTAAGGAGCTATAGTCAGTGCTGACTCAGAAGAAGGCGATTCACAAGCTATGTTGAAATGCTGGGTTCCAGCGCCTCAGGATTCTCTGTATGAGTTGTCAGGTGCATCAGAGACCTGGGGCCCAGGGGAGGGAAGTTCCCAAGATCCTTCACAGCACCAGAGCTCAGAGGCACCTCATGGCAGCCCTGTGAGCCAGGCAAGGCCAGGAGCATCGTCCCCTGACTTGCTAAGACTACCTGGGAAAGCTGTGAAAAGGGGAGGGCCAGAATCCAGGCGTCTCAGCTCCCAGGTCAGGCACCTGTTCTACCCCCTACCTCACCCCTGTGGGCGTGGGGGAGGAGTCCAGTTAGGTGGGGGGGGGCACAAGCTCATCCCAGTTCTGCCCCCGGCCCCCCCCCCCGGCTGCCTGTCATTCTCTCCAGACCAAGAAAGTCTGAAGGTTCTGTCTCCCCTTCCCTGAAGCCTTGCCCTTATTAAGCCAGGCCAGCCCTGGGCCCATCCAGGGCTGAGTCCAGCTATTCCAAGGAAAAGAAAAAAGGCAACCTCCCGGCCATCCCTGTGTCCTGGTGGGGCTGGGGCTTGGGCCTTTCTGACCAGCCTCCAGGGCCTGGGGCCTATGGCCTCCCCTGTGATCCCCCACCCTCGTCCACTGCTCCTTCTGCCCACATCGGCCGGTCTTGGGTGAGCTGTGGCCACAGAGATGTCTCTGCAGAGCAGGTGGCTTACCTGCAGGGCTCTGGTCATGGACACTGGGGTCTGAGGCACTTCATCCTTCAACAGGGACACGCCGTTGCTGCCTTCCATGTCTTTGCCTGAAACAGCAGGAGTAAGTGATGGAGCCAGTGCCTCCGAGAGAGGAGGTCTGCCCCCACTGCACCTCCCTGGCAGACCTTCCCCCTCCCTCCCCTTCTGCCAGGCAGGCACCCATACTGCCCAAGGGGGGGGCACTGTTCGGAGGCAGGCTTGGGCACTGGGGTAGAGCAGGACTAGAACCCAGGGCTACCCTCTGGGCATTGCCTCTGGCCTTGAGCCCCTTGGATTCCCATCCTGTCATTGCTGCTGCTGTCCATCATCTATGTTCCAAGAGCCAGCTTTGTTAGCCCTATGTAAGAGCAGTAAACTGAGGCTCCAGGAGGTTGGGAATCTGCCCACAGCTATGAAGTATGGGAGGCAGGATTTGAATCCAAGTCCTCCTGACTCTGCACCCAGGATCTTCTCTGCTGACCCACAGTGTTGCTCTTGGGCATCAGCGATGGAGGACATAGGCAGCAGGGCATTACTCTTGGCTTTCATTTACTCATTTACAACTTGGTCTGACTCAGTGCATCATTTAAAGGCAGAGAGGAGGTATGTGTGTGTGTGTGTGTGTGCACACGTGTGTGTGTGCATGAGAACACATGTGCACATATGTGAACATGTGGAGGGGATGACAAAGGAAGGAAACTGCCTCAGTGGCTGGGGCTTCACAGAATTAGGAAGGCCTAAGTTTGAATTCCAATTCAGATAAGATATAAACTGTGTGACCTTGGGCAAATCACTTCCACCTATCTGTGTCTCAGGTCCCCTAATCAGTAAAATGAGGGGGGAAGACGTGATGGTGGGCAACACCTCCATCCCTTTAAGGTTTGGGAACCTCCACGCCTTTGTCCATGGATGTGCGTGGACTGACATCAGAACTGGAGGTCTCTGGCCCTTCATCCTGGGGCTCTGCCTCTCATGGGGGCTTCCTCTCAGGAGCTGTGGAAGGGCGTCCCCCCTCTCCTGGCTGGTCATGTGCCTGCATCTTCCTGTTCTCCCCAGGGATGATGCTGTGCTTGCCTTCCCAGCTAGGACTGACCTGGGCTGAGAGGGTAGATCTCATGGTCTCCACTGAAGAACAGGTTCCTGGTCAGTTTCCGAGGGTCAATTTTCTGAGGAGTGGAGGAAGGTGGACAGAGGGAAAACCTGCGCCGTAGGAAGTTCTCTTCCTTCATGGTGTGAGCGGTGGGGGTTCTCTGGAAGGAAGCAACAACGCAGCAGTTCATACCGAGTAAGGACAAAGCAGAAGAAGTCAAGACATTTCTGTGCTTCCTGAATCCAAGCCTCCAGAACCCTCACATGGCCAGAAAGAACTTGGGCTCCCCATGGTGGGAGAAAGAGAAGGGACAAGGCTTCAAGCTGCTCTTAGGGGCAAGGCTCCAAAAAGCTCCTTCCAGCTTGGAGCGCAACCAACCCAGCCTCCCATCCCTTCTCCATCTCTAGGTCTGGAGAGCTAGGGTTTGGGTTCCCGACGGCCACCTCGGAGGCCCTGGAAGACTTGAAGATGCCTTTCGGATCCAAGCAATCTCTGATTTGCTACAGGAGCCTTGAATTCTATGGGTCTCTGTTGTATTTTTAGGATTCCCCAAATCGGCGCATAGATAGCCACATCATAAACTCAGAACAGCCTACGTCCTTGACCATGGCAGGATGCTCTATTGCAGAGAGCAAGTCAGCCTCATGGCCACTGTGGGGCCCCAAAACACCAGGCTAAGATATAAACTGGAAGACATAAGATTACATATGTGATATAAACCAGAGAAAGAGAGAGAGATTACAAGAGAAGATCTAAACCAGAGAATAGCCCTCTCCGGCCAGATGCGTGCGCAGAGAAGATGAGCTCTGGGACCTGGCCCAGCCAGCCTCGAACTGCACGTTGGCCTGATTTCACGGTCCCTGCCTCTACCAAAGTGCTGAAAAGGCTGGACATACTTGAGCTGCCTTTTGGGAGAAGACGCAGAGAATCGATACGTGGAGGCAAGAGTGGGCCTCGCTGCTCATGGCCGTCTCAGAGGCCCTCTAGCTCCACATGCCCCAAAGGTGACTGCTCACCCTCCTGTCTCAGCTTGGCGCTTCTCCTGCCTTTCCTTGTCACCCAGGCCCCCCTTCCCTGCCCTCTCCCCTCAGGCTTCTCTTTCCTTCATGCCCCACATCCCTGAGTCCCACAGATTCTGGTCCTAAGATGTATCACAATCAATAATCAATCAATAAACATTTATTAAGTGCCTACTATATGCCAGGCATTGGATCTCCCATTCACTTCCTCCTTCCCATTCCCTACCATCCCCAGCTGAATCCAGGCATCCCTGCCTCGGTGACCCCTCCTGCTCAGTCAGTCTGAACTGGCTGATGCATCCATATTGACTAATGTATTAAATCCCTACTATGTGCAATGCGGTATGTTCTACCATAGAGGACAAGCCAATATAAATAAGGCAAAGTCCCTGCCCTTGAGCTGCTGGAGGGACAGGGGACTGGAGTGAAAGAAGATGGAAGGATGGGTAAAGAGACTGAGGGAGGGCTCTGACCAGATCTGCCTCTTCATTATGACAGCAGGAGCCAAGGGCCTGAGCTGGGCTGAGCAGATAATCCTGGCCAACCCCTGGCCGGCTTTACCTCTGGGCCTTGAAGGGCAAGCAGACATTTGATACAGTGCCTTGTTTATCATGTGGGCCCCACGAGGCTCTGAGGCGTGAGGGCTGGAACCAGAGAAAACCCCCTCATCCCAAAAGATCTTTCAATCTGCCAAGGCAGGAACACTCAGTACTCTACGCTGTCTTTGGGATGATGGCGCTAACCACTCAGCCCGTGATGTGAGCTTCTCCCTGGGGCTGTGGTGGGGAGAACCCTGTGGGGCATGAGAAGCCAGGAGACCTCACTCTAGGCTGGACCTAGTTCTGTAACCACTGGGCTATAACATCCTCTCACCAGGCCTTAGTTTCCCCATCTATAAAAGGAGAGGTTTGGATAGGAGTATTTCAGAAGCCCCTTCTGGCTTTGACATTCTACGCACCACACCTGCACTTTGCACCATCTTTTCCAAAGTGCCCTCACATGAATTCTTTCATTTTATTGTTATTCCCATTTAACAGATGAGCAAATTGTGGCCCTCTGGGGAAGGACCTTTGGCCAAGGCTGAGACCAATAGGCTTAATTTAATAGGAAAAAAAATAAAATCCTACACTTGGGCTTAAAAAGTCAGCTCCACGAGGAGGTAAGTGGCACAGTGGATAGAGCACCGGCCCTGAAGTCAGGAGGACCTGAGTTCAAATCTGTCCTCAGACCAAACACTTGACACTTACTAGCTGTGTAACCCCGGGCAAGCCACTTAACCCCAATTGCCTAAAAATAAAAGAAGAAAAAAAGTCACCTCCGCCAGTTCAGGATGGGAGTAGTGAGGCAACAGTTCTTATAAAAAAAAGCTGTGGGGGTTTCAGGGGCTGTCCAGTCCAACAGAATCAACAACGGGGCAACAGAGCAGCCAAAACAGCAACATGGTGGCGTAAAAACCTATGGGAGCTTAGGCTGTGCTTGTCCAGGAAGGGCAGTGACAATTCCTCTGCCCTGGGCAGGCCACAGCACAGAATGGGCAGAACATGGGGGGATTCTTGTTCAGGCATGGGGGGGGGAGACCAGCAGGCCTTTGGGCTCCCTTCAGCTTCCCTGGCGTTTGGAGCCTGGCTTTCCTCATTGCTTGTGTGGCTCACGCATTTAGGGCTGAGGGGTCTGGACTCACGCACACGTGGAAGGGTGGCCCTGTGCATGGGGTGAACCAGGAACTGGTCCGAGTCTGGGGCCTAGGCTTGCTTAATCTCCCCCAGGTCTGTCCACTTGCCCTGCAGGGCTTCTCTGCTGAGCTGAGCCAGGATTCCTTGGCTCCCCATTTAACACTGAGGAAGAGGAGGCGGGGGTGGCTCTGCCTTCTCCCAGGCACTACCCAGGCTCTGGGAGGCCAACCTGGCTTCCTACCTCTTTGTGACATTATCCCCTCTATTGCTGGGCAAGCTCCTTTGTTAGCAGCTGCTTTGTGACGCTCTGGTCTCACTGGCTGTCATGCCTCTCTCCTCTTACCTGGGACTGCAGCCCAGCAGCTACCGGGAAAGGAAGGCGTTATGTGGAAGGCCTCCCTCCTGAACCGCGTATGGTTAGAATTCACTCCTCTCTCTCACGGAGGAAGGCCAGGGCAGAGAGAGGCCCTGCTCTGAGGCAGCTGCCCTGGCTCTGTCTGACGGGTGATACTGTCTGCTCCCAGGGGTAGGATGGGGAGGCTGGACAGCTCCCTGGCTTTAAGCTGGGGCCCACCACAGCCGCAATATCAGGTTGGAAATGTAATTCCCTGAATGTGGAGCATTTTCAAATGTAAGTACTGAGTACCTTCCCAAATCAAAGTGCATTGGGGATTTCCACCACACATAATGGAGAGTGCACTCTTCCTTTCAGTAGTTTGACTGAAACCCCAGTTTTAAGAAGTGGTGGGGCTCCTGTGAGGGACAAATAGGACCAGTCCCGGATGTGGGGTCAAAGGACATGGGTCCAAACACAGATTCAGCTGCTCTTTAACGTGTGAACCTAGACAAGTCGTTTCCTCCCTTTGGGCATGTTTCCTCCTTAGAAACAAGGGAATTGACTAAGATGATTTCTTCTTCTTATTTATTTATCTATCTATCTATCTATCTATCCATTTATTTATTTATTTACTAATTCAGCCACCCATTTATTTATTTATTATTTATTATTTATTCACTTATTTATTTATTTACTTATTTATATATCCATTTATATATATATATATATATATTTATTCATTCATTCATTCATTCATTCATTCATTTATTTATTTATTTATTGGCTAGGCAACGGGGTTAAGTGACTTGCCCAAGGTCACACAGCTAGTAAGTGTTAAGTGTCTGAGGCTAGATTTGAACTCAGGTCCTTCTGACTCCAGGGCCCGTGCTCTATCCACTGGGCCACCTTGCTGCCCCTAAGATGATTTCTGAAGATCTAAACCCCATGAGCTGTCTCCAATCCCACCAAAGTGTGGCTCTTTCTCTAGTGCCTTGCATGGAGAAGGTCCTCAAATACTTTAGAGAGGAATGGAAGGAAGGATAAAGGTATGGAAGAAGGGAGGGGGCCAGGAAGGGAAGAAGGGGACCATGATGGTAAGAGCTAAGCATACCTGCAGCCCAGTTTGGATACAGAAGTGACTGAAGCTGGCTAACCCAGGCTCATCTCTGGTCACAGACAAGGCAGCATTTGGCCGACAGCCTTCTTCAAAGTTGGGGGCTGGGCCCTTTTGGCCCCCTTTGCTGGCCCCTTGATCATATTTCTTCCAGGTCTCATCTCTCTTTCTCCAACTCTGGGTCAATCCAAAGGGAAAAGGGTATCTGAGGTCACAATGGAGAGTCCCAGAGACAGGGTTTACCCCCTTGGGGCTTGTGGTTCAGAGGGGCTGAGGCTAAGTAAGGTAACCTGAGTTCTAGTTCTGGTTGTATGGGTAACAATCTGTGGGACCTTGGGCGGGTCACCTTCCCTCTCTGTGTTCACTTTCCTGTTGGACCAAGACTACGGCCTCCCAGGGCCCTTCCAGCCCTGCTATCCTGCAGTCCTAAGAGGCAAGGGAAGTGCCCCAGGGATGAGTTCAGGGAAGCTTGCTGTCCCTGGGGAAGCCCATAAGAGCGGAGAAGTCAGATATGGGGAGGCGTGGGGGAGAATGGGGTTTGAGGGGGGATAAGGGGCAAAGGGAGTGAACTCAGAGACAGCCAAGGAGGGTGTGAGGTGGACAGGACAGAAGGAGAGGAGAGCGAAGGAGTCTGAGGCTGAGGTCAGACACGGACAAGGCAAGAAAAGAAGGTGGGAAATGGAGGAACAAATCAGAGAGGCCAGGAGGAAGCCTGGTGAAGGGGTGCGTGTGTGTGTGTATATGTGTGTGTATGTGTGTGTGTGTGTGTGTGTGTGTGTGTGTGTGTGTGTGTGTGTGTGTGTGTGTGTGGCCCTGAAGGAACAAGGATGTGCAGGATGGCCCTGAAGGGGAGATGAGGCAGGATTGAGGGGCGAGAAGCTGTCCAAGATGGACTTTGTCCAAAGCAGAGATTTGCTGCAGATCACCCCCCCCATCTACGGGCCCACCCAACATGGAGGGGAGCCCCCCAAGCACTAGGGCTGCCCATTCCTCTCCCTGTCGGTCAGAGGCCTCCTCCTTGACGCCTGCTCACACCCGGGCCCAGGGGCCTTCGGCCTGTCATCCCTCACCTTTTCTTCTGGCCTCGTGGGTGAGATGGGCCAACAGCCTGCAGACCTTTGGGTCGCCTCCCCACCCTCTCTGCGCCCCAGCACAATCAGCCCTAAGACCCCTCATACTTCTATGGTGCTCCCCTCACAGCAGCTCTGTGAGGTCCTGAGTGCTGTCAGTATTCTCATGACACTCTGCAGATGAAGAAGCAGAGGCCCCTGCCACCATATATATCTTACACATAGGTGTGTGTATAGAGAGACAGAGAGAGAAGCAAAAAGGATGGTTGGTAAAATTACCCTGTTAAAAACCCTACATTAAATTTAATAAGCTGTTAGCCCTGTTTGTGCCGCCTCCTGACATTTGCCCCTTGCTTCCCTCCCATCACTCACTCATTCCTCATGCTCCTGCCTAAATGTCACAGTCATGGGCATGCTGGGGCTCTCCCCTGGAGGCCATACTGAGGACCCAGGACTCAGGGACTTAAACTGCTGTGGACCTGATGCCAGGAGCAGAGAAAGTATGAAGGTGAGGAAGAAGAGTAAGAGGAGGGGGAGGAGGGGGAGAAAGAGGAGGAAGAGGAGGAAGAGGAAGAGGAGGAGGAGGAGGAGGAGGATAACTATTAGGGACAGGGCCAAAGAGAGAGTTTTCCTGGAATCTGAGTTTCCTGGCCGAGACATCACTTTCCTTTCTCCCTGGGGATGGGCAGATACGGTCCAGCTGTTTCCTGAAAAAGCTCCCTGGGCCAGCCAGATTCCCTCCTTTCTTCCCTCCCCTCAGCAGGATCTAGAATATTCTGGTGCTTTCTTCCCAGCACCTGTCTCTGTGCCCTTGTGGCACTCAGAGCTGGCGGCTGGGCATGCGGGGGTCCACCCCAGGGCCCTAGGGAGCTATCTGGTCAATACCAGAGCCAGCCATGAGATCCCTGATCAGCCTCTTAGCAGTTGGGGGCTGGGGGCCGGGAGCCACCTCATTGAGTCTCCAGACCCAAGTGAGATGCCCAGAACAGGGATACCATTTGAGTCTTAGGGCTACTAATGCATAGTAGGTAGACAGGGGTTAAGTGACTCATTGCACAGGGAGTATCTGTGGTTAGATTTGAATTTGGGTCCACCTACTCCAGGCCCGCTGCCCTATGGCACCCCCTAGCGACCTCTTATTCCATTGCTGATTCATACAGGCCCTGCAGCCCACTCCCCACCAAGTTTAGAGACAAACCACTACTTTCCCCATCTTGCATTTGAAAAGTGGATTTTTTTGGGGGGGTGAGGCAATGGGGGTTAAGTGACTTGCCTAGGGTCACACAGTTCATAAACATCATCTGTCTGAAAAGCGGATTTTTTGAACCTGGATCAGGCTTTGCATTTCTTCCAACTCAGCCCAGCAGGGGAGCCTGGCAAGGTGTCTCAGAATCCCGAGTCCATGTTTCCTGGGTTAGCTCCCCCCCCCCCCACTCTGTCTGTTGTTTTCAAGTTTGTTCAGCGTGAGCCGGATGCTTTTATCCAAGCCATTCATTTAAAAAGAATTAAAGAACCCAAAGGCCAGGACTTTAATCATTCCCATGCTCTGCCCTCTAATGAGCTGAAATCTGCCTTTTCATAACTTCTGGGAAGTTTCTTCCTCATTCATTCTTTGCTTTCTACATGTGGGGCCTTGGAGGAGACACAAAGCCACAACACCGTCCCTCTGGGAGCTCCCAGCCTAGTGGGGGGAACAGATACCAATCAATCAATACAGATAATCATAGTGTCCCTAGAAAAATGTCTGTGTGAGGGGTGCGGGGTGCAGGAGGTGGTGTTTGAGCTCTGCTCAGGGGGTCAGTCCACAAGCTAAGAGGGGGAGGGGAGACACCAGGCACTGGCTAGAGGGTGAGAAAAGGTTTGGAGGTGGGAGTGCTGGGGTTTGCCTGACCCAGGGTGCCTGCAGGGGAGGAAGAGGAGACTGAATTAAAAGCCTGCCATGATCTACTGGGGGCAGATCTCCCCCGCAGGGCCTCCCCACAGCAGGGACATCTCCTCATCTTTGATTCTCCCCTCCCCACTTGTGACCTGTTGGCTCTACCCCCACACCTCTCCTCTCCCTCCATTTACAGGGTCACCTCTCCCCTACACTGATGCAGCAGCTGCCTCACTGCCTTCCTTCTCCTCTCCCCTCCACTCCATCTAATAGACAGAGAGCTCCCTTAATTTCCTGGCCCCAAACAATAAACATTAGGCACCTACTATGTGCCAGACATTGTGCTAAGTGATGGGGGTACAAAAAGAGGCAAAAGCCAGTCCCTGCCCTTGAGGAAATCACAGTCTAATGGTGAAGATTAGCTCGTCCTGGCCCAGCTGACCTCACTGCCGGCCCCAGCTTGAGCCTGCTAATCCCAGCCGCCATTTTATACCGACCTCATCTGCAAAGTGCTTTGCTATAGTCAATAAGCACTTATTAAGTCCCCACTGTGTGCCCAGCACTATGCTAAGTGCTGGGGATACACAT